TAAAATTTAAAAAAATAATAAATACCCAAATGTGTCCACATTATAAACCATTATTTGCATGGGGCCTTAAATTTTAGAAATGTTCTTTGTTACTTTTTTTTAAGTTGTAATTATATTAATATAAATTTAATATGAATAATTTGCCAAGTATAAATTTGTGCATTACAATCTTGTTTTTATTAATAAGAATAAATAAATAAAAAGCGTTTATTCATCCCAAAAAAACTGCACATTCGTTAACGATTTATAATATTTCATATTATCCAATTTAAGTAGTAAAGGACAATTTTTTTTATTGTTTTCTGCTTGTATGCAAACTAATGATTGCTATTATTTACTGTATTTACTTTTCCTCTACTACCAAAATTTGTTTGTGCACTGTCTTCAGGTGATTTTTAATTTATTATATTGTTGTCGAAATTCCAAATGAATGTCACAAAACTAAATATAGGTAAAATAACAGTGATTAACTTATCAAAGAAGTGTCTTTTATTTTTATACCCAAACCCTCCTTCGATAAGGTATTTATCACTTTTACTTTAGACCTTTAAAGGTAATTACGAACAAATATTTTTGTCTTATTTATAAATACAATGTACCTATACAATATTATTTTATTTTGTAATTTGTATATTTAAATATAGGTTACTATTGCTGTGCAGATTTGGTTTCTGGACAACAAAAACCTCTTCGAATAGCTAAAATTTATGAAATATAAATATTCTTGATTCTTTAATAACCTAAGTACCTATTCAATATATACACAATTAGGACAAGCATTGGGAAATATTTACGTATTACCTTATACTGATTTTTGTTCTTGACAACAAATTCTTTAATAAGCTAAAATTCACTAGAATACATGTACATTATATTGTTAATTAGTTAGTTTAGTAAATACCTTGATTATTTTAAAATGTAATACATTTATTTTTGCTTTCCAAATAAACAATTTAAATAAACTCTCAGTCATTTTATTTTCTACTATTTTGACTGTCAAAATTTGACAGGATAACCTAAATTAAAACCATAACCTAAAACCTATAAATGTCAGGCGGGTACAACTAGCGACATAGCGGACCGAGTGTGCGTAACAAGGAGCGTCAAATATGTGACAGTGGCGTATCTATATGATTTATTATCTATGGTTTGAATTGTCATTTTCAGTATACGTATTCTATAATTTTTTTTTAGTTTTTTTTAAAATGTTTTTTACAAACAAAAATGAAAAATTGCAGTAAAAGTTACGAAGAAATTCATGAAATTTAACTAAGGACTGGTTTATTCATCTTTAGTAAAGTTTATCGGGCCGATAACTTTCATGTCTTGGCAATATCTAGTATTCAAAGAAATTATTCGTCAAATAAATCAAAAATTAATAAATCGGCCCTAAATAAAATGTGGCACCCTTAGAATTATTGTTTAATAAATGTATACTACATTTAACCTTAAATTAAAACTTTAAACGTGTATTACAACAAAACAGTAAAAGATATAAAAAATTTATAGACCTTTTATTTAGGAAATTAACTAATCTTTAATCTGATTTAAAAAGTTATGATAATATTTAAATAAAATCGCCAGTTTTAATTGGAGAATTGAAAGTGTGCATACATATTTTTAATAAACATCCAATTAAAACAAAATTAACCGTCAAATTTTTTTTATTTTGCTCTTAAAATTTTAGTTATGACCTAATTAACAAGAATATAAAAAAAAAAATAGGTTTCACAGAAAGTTCAAAAATCACCTCTCAGAACAGCACCGTGTATTATTGTTTTTTAATTTTTAAAAACCCCCGAGCGGGATCGAACCGAAGACATTAATTTAAATTAAATTATTTTTAGATTCTATCCGGAAACCGAAACTGTGACGGAAAATGACATTTTACCGGAGTTACAACAATGGCTGGCTCAAGTTAAATTTAGAAAAAGGAAGTTAAAAAGAAACTTAAAAAGAAAAACCAACAGTGTAGAAAGAAAAATATTCTTTTATTTCTGTGATTTTTTTGAAAGAATTTTTGTGTTACCTATTTTATTTTTATTTATATCGGTTATTTATAAAATAAACTTTTTTAAAATATTTTTTATCAAGACGTGTACTAAATTTTTTTGTATTTTTAGCGTACAAAAAATAGATCTCCACTGTTATAGTATATATGATATTAGAATACCATCTTAATAAACAATTTGTACTACTTATGGAAACGATAAATTAAATAAAAGTTTAACAAGGTTTTAAAAAATATTTATGTTTTGGTATTTTGATGTTCCCTGCTGTTATTCAAAGTATTGTTTACATATTTACAATAAAAATTACTTTGCACTTTAAGTCGTATTGTACCTTTGAATAAATATATATTTTAAATGTGCCTGAGGGAGAGATAAATATTAAAAGAAGGAAAAAAGCCGGTAGCAGTTCTTTAGGAAGTGGTTTCCATAATATTCCTGTTTTCTCTAGTTATAAAACTTGGCTTTTATAGTGTTACTAAGATAACCTTCATACTCCTCAAATAAGCTCTTTAAGGTGTATATAAGAGTGATATAAATATTTCTGTAACCAAATTAAGAAATTTAGGTTTTATAATTTGATTGATACATTATGGATACATTTATGGAAATCACTATAAAGACAAAAATGTTTATTGGGATACCACATCTACTTTTTGCATTCCAAAACAAGAAAAAGTATTGGGTGTCACACAGCTTTTATAAATATAAAAGCAACATTTTATCAACATTGTTAAAATAAATATGCATATGAACTGTACGAATTTTGAAAATATTTCCAGATATTTTTGTGATGTTGAGGATTAATATTAATAAAATATAAGTAGTGAAAAAATATTGTAATGGGTGATTCATTTACCTTTTTTTTAAAATTCTAAATAAAACGCATAAAATGGAATGGTGGAATCTTCATTATGACCTGAAAGAACAATCTTTGACATTTATTTTTTGAAAATTAATTTAAATGCTGGCCGTGACGGCACACACAGCGCGCGAAACAATAGCTTTATTGAGAAATCATTTTGGTGAGCAGATAATTTCGCAATTGGCCTCCTAGATCTTGTGATATCACACCCTTGGACTTTTTTCTGGGGTCATGTTAAATCAAAAGTCTTCGTCGATAAGCCAGCTACGATTCAGGACTTAGAAGCCAAAATAACTCGCGTAATTGGACAGATACCGGTCGCAATGCTAGAGTGATCGAAAATTGGACCTTCCGATTAGACCAAGTACGGCGTAGTCGCGGCCAGCATTTAAATAAAATTATTTTCAAAAAATAAATGTCAAAGATTGTTCTTTCAGGTCATAATAAAAATTTCGCCATCCAATTCAATTTTATGCGTTTAATTTAGAATTTAAAAAAAGGTCTAAATGAATCACCCGTTATAAATATTAAAAGTGGGATATCTAAATGGTGTAAAAACATTTTAGAAGCATTTAAATGATAATGACTAATATTTCTCAAATATATAAATAGTTCATTTAGCAAAAATATTCATTCAATAATTTAAATACACACTGCCCGTCAAAATTAACTCTAAACGCCTTTACCAATCTCTATGAAATTTTGTATAAAAATACTTCAACTTATATCTCAGTTTACGTGTTCAAGGGATTTTCAAAAAAATATTTTTAAAGCCCTTTAATTAAATAATAAAAAAAGTTTTTTTATTATTTAATTAAAGGGCTTTAAAAATATTTTTTAAAAACGTTCTAAAATAACTTTTAGAGAATTTTTTTTAAGTAAATTAAAAATATGGTGATAAAGACCGTATTTTTGTTAGTGTCCTAAAAATGTTGTACAAATCAAACGAACAGTAACAAAGATACAGCGCTTCAGTCAGTAAAAGTTACCCCTTTTTGATTATTTTGCTGAAAAGTGGTCATTTTTGACGACTTTGAAGCGCTGTATTTTGGTTACTGTTCGTTTGATTTGTACAACATTTTCAGGGTTTACTAACAAAAATACGGTCTTTCACAGGATATTTTTGATTTACTTCCCTATAAAAGTTGTTTTTCGTTTTTTATTATTAAATAAAAGGGCTTAAAAGATATTTTCTCGAAAAATCCTTGAACACGTAAACTGAGATATAAGTTAAAGTATTTTTTATTCAAAATTTTATAAAGATTGGTAAAGGAGTTTTAGAGTTGGGTTTTTTTTACTTGTTATTAATTAAAAGAAAAGGTCTAAATGAATCACCTGTTATAAATATTAAAAGTGGGATATCTAAATGGTGTACAACATTTTAGAAGCATTTAAATGATAATGACTAATATTTTTCAAATATATAAAAAGTTCATTTAGCAAAAATATTCATTCAGTAATTTAAATATACACTGCCCGTCAAAATTAACTCTAAAACGCCTTTACCAATCTCTATGAAATTTTGTATAAAAATACTTCAACTTATATCTCAGTTTACGTGTTCAAGGGATTTTCAAAAAAATATTTTTAAAGCCCTTTAATTAAATAATAAAAAAACGTTCTAAAAATAACTTTTAGAGAATTTTTTTTAAGTAAATTAAAAATATGGTGTTAAAGACCGTATTTTTGTTAGTACATCCTAAAAATTTTGTACAAATCAAACGAACAGTAACAAAGATACAGCGTTTCAAAGTTACCGCTTTTTGATTATTTTGCTGACAAATTGTCATTTTTGACGACTTTGAAGCGCTGTATTTTGGTTATTGTTCGTTTGATTTGTACAACATTTTCAGGGTTTACTAACAAAAATACGGTCTTTTACAGAATATTTTTTATTACCTAAAAAAAATTCCCTATAAGTTTTTTTCGAGCGTTTTTTATAATTAAATAAAAGGGCTTTAAAGATATTTTCTTGAAAAATCCTTGAACACGTAAACTGAGATATAAGTTAAAGTATTTTTATCCAAAATTTTATAAAGATTGGTAAAGGAGTTTTAGAGTTGGGTTTTTTTTTACTTGTTATGCGTTACTTTTGACGCGAAGTGTATTTTTCTTAATATACTTACATCTTTTGTTAAAATGATGGGTCAAATTAATCAACACCTTCAACGTGACCAGCAAGGCCTCCCTGATAATGGTCCCGGTGGACGTCTTGTCCTTGATCTCGGTGACCGGATAGAGGGGTATCTCGCCGTCGCACAACTTGTACAAGTTGACCAGCGTGTCCAAGATCATGCCGTTCTCGTACTTCAAGATGTACACCTGGTTTTCTTCGTTGTTGTGCGTGACGTTCTCGAGCACGCGCAGGCAGCGGTCCACTTTGCGCAGCTTGTCGAGCAGCGCGTCCGTCCACTCGACCACGTAGTCGGACACCTGGCGGCAGCACTCGCGTATAGTTTTCATGATGTGTTCGAGCCCGCCGAGCTCGCGCAGCTCCTCTTTGAACCATTCGCCGGCGCGTTTAGACGTGAGGCTGAGCAGGGTCTCCATCGCCAATTGACCGACCTAACAAATAAGGATTCGGTCTAGTTTATTATTATTTTCGAGTTTTAACATTGTTCGATTGATTGAGACTCAGTAAAATATCTGGGTGTTACAGTTGATTATGACATAAGTTGGAATGAATATTAGACTGGTTCAAAAAAATCGAATATTTTTTTTTCTTCAAAGCCCGCATTGAAATATCTTCCTAGTAGTGAAAAAAGAAGCTTGTGTAAATTGTAGCTCTTAATATTATTATTTAGAGGTCGCTCACCGTGAATTTCTATTTTACGTTTAAATAACACAGGAATTCTTTTTTCTTAATTTTCAAATTTTATAACTCGTTTTTGAGTGAACATATTGGAATAAGCGACACATATTTTTAAAGAAAATTGAACGCTCTACAAAAAATGTCTCTTATAATTTTTTCATAAATTCACTTCTTTTATAGTTATTCAACGTTGAAATTAGACATATAATAAATTTAACGTTTTTTTATAATTGATGGCATAATAATAAACCTTATCACTCATTATGGTACAGGATGGTCCAGTTTGTAATACATTAACTTTAATAGGTGATAAAGTATGAGGCGCCGTTTGTGCCATAATTATGTTGCTAATATATATTTATTTTTGTTTGATTATATATATTTTTTAAAGTTATTTTTAAATTAACTTAATATATTTATTATTTTACTTAAAATATATTTATTTTTAAGAACAATATATTTATTTTTGTGTGTTAATATTAATAATATTATAATAATATTATTAATAATATTATGTTTTTTTGACATCTGCTAATATATATTTGTTTTTTTGACAGACAATTCAATGTGGCAACGTTGCATTGTAATTTAACCCGTTGTTCATAGGTGTCGTTGTTGTATTAAGTTTATTGATACTTTACCCAATATTTTTGGAATTTGTGAGGTTTCATTCCATTAACGACTTTGTTTTTATTTATAAACGAAAGAAATAGTGAAGACGGTAAATTTTTTGCGGTTATTTAAAACAGGTAAATACCCAATAAATTTTTTTAATTAATTTTCTGGAATATTTTTTGTAATAGCGAAATTTTAGTAATAATGGAAAGAAGTAGTCCAGAGTTGCGTAGCACACTTGTTTTGAGTAGCCACCGAAAATTCACCGAATTTTTCTTTCGTTTTTAAATAAAAACAATCGCTGATAGAATCTAACCTCAAACATTCAAAAAATATTGCCGGTAAAGTATCAGTAAACTTAGAACAACAACGACATCTATGAACAACGGGTTAAATGACAATGCAACGTTGCCACATTGAATTGTCTGTCAAAAAAACAAATATATATTAGCAGATGTCAAAAAAACATAATATTATTATAATATTATTAATATTAACACAAAAAAATAAATATATTGTTCTTAAAAAATAAATATATATTTTAAGTAAAAAAATAAATATATTAAGTAAATTTAAAAATATATTAAAAAAATATATATTCAAACAAAAATAAATATATATTAGCAACATAATTATGGCACAAACGGCGCCTCATAATAAAGCATCAAAAATAAGATAGACTTTCATAAAAAAACATTTCTTAAAAATGTTTCCTAAGATAAATACAGGCTGTCAAAGTTTACAAAAAAATAGTTTTCTCTTCATAACTTTTAAACCACAAAATTAATTTGGCACACAATGTAATATAGTCAGTGCCTTAATAATGATGTAGATAATTATTTAAAAAAAACATCAGTGCCGCAGTTACTCGGGGGGCTGCTCCCCTTTTCACCTCAGTCTTTGACGCCACTGGAAATTTTAAAATAATAAATAAATGTTTAGGTCAAGTTTTTAATTTAGGGAAAAAATTTGCTCTTGTAAAATTTTGATTTGGGGCTTCGTTTCTAAAATATTTGCTTAAAAATGTTTCCTCGCAAAATTACATTTTTAGATTGTCTGTTCAATTTAGAGATAAAAAAACTACTGTGCTAAAACTTTAATTTAGGGCTTCGTTTTTAAAATATTTGCGAACACACTCCAAAAAAACTGCGGCAAAAGTATTCTTGGATAAATAAATTAATTATTTAAAAAATGAAGCACTAAATCAAAATTTTACATGAGTAGTTTTTTTCTCTAAATTAAACAGATAATCTAAAAATGTGTTAATTATTAAAAAAAATTTCAGTGGCGCCTATGGTGAAAAGGGGAGCAGCCCCCCCAAGTAACTGCGCCACTGATGTTTTTTTAAATAATTATCCACATCATTACTAAGACATTGACTATATTGTGTACAAAATGTCCACTCAAAAAAAGTTATAAAATTAAAAGTAAAAAAAAATTCCTGTTATTAATTTAAACGTTACATTTATTATATGTCTAATTTCAACCTTGAAGAACTATTAAAGGAGTGAATTTACGAAAAAATTATAAGAGATATTTTTTGTAGAACGTTCAATTTTCTTCAAAAATATATAGAGTTCATTCCAATATGTTCACTCAAAAACGAGTTATAAAATTTCAAAGTTACGAAAAAAGAATTCCTGTGTTATTTAAACGTAAAATAGAAATTCACGATGAGCGACCTCTAAATATTAATATTAAGAGCTACAATTTTCACAGGCTTCTTTTTTCACTACTAGAAAGATATTTTAATGCGGGCTTTGAAGAAAAAAAAATATTCGATTTTTTTGAACCAGTCTAATGAACATATAAGGCAATTAACTTCAAAGTTAAATTCAGCAACTTAAGATTTTTGCGGGATCAAGTTTCAACTGGAGTCACTAATTGAATATTCAATTCTGTTCTGGGGTGGCACTGAACATATTGATAAAATATTTAAAATCCAAAAGAGATTAATTAGATGTATTGCTCAACTATCTCTGCGAACTTCATGTCGAACATATTTTAAAAATTTTGGAATACTTACAGTACCGTCTTTGTATATATACAAGTTGGTATTGTTTGTTAAGAGTAACCCCAAACTATTTACAAGAAACCATGAAATTTATAATAACATGTTAACAAGAAATAGAGATAATTTAAGAGTACCCTTACATAGACAAGCTTATTACAAAAAATCACCAGAATTTAATGCTATTAAAGTGTTTAAAGTATTTACTTAAGTGGTGAAGGGATTACTAACTTTTAAACTCACCATTGACCAGCCTTTAACGTCAACACAACAGGCTGATAATAATTAAATTTTCAATATTTTTAATAATCATTTGAATAAGTTTTAAATAATTTTAATAAAAATTAAAGTAAAAGTAAAAATAATTTTGATAAAAAGTAACAAAAAACTTAGTTTGAAAGATTTCTTATGATTTTCAATGATATCCTTAAATTTTCAATTTTAGAAGCTTTTAAGTGGATTTATAATGATTTTATATAATTTATTTACAGATGCCCCAATTTATCTAATTTTTCTAAAGTAAATACACTGCGCGTCAAAATAATAAAAATAATAATAAACTCTAAAACGCCTTTACCAATCTTTATAAAATTTTGGATAAAAATACTTTAACTCAGTGGTTCTCAAACTGTTCTCAAACGGTGGTACGCGAATAGATAATAGATGTACTTGCCTTCAAATAAAATTATCGTTGGCTCAATTTTATTGAAAATCTATCATTTCCCACATTTTATATTGTAAATGGCAACACTGTTGTTGGTGTTTATTAAACGGGTAATCCCCTGCTCGTTTTAAAATCGTGACGAGTCATGCGTATTTTGTTTTGTTCTGACAAATTGTTGTTTTAATACTATAAAAGTTGGTTCTGTTTCACGCTTATCAATATTTCTTATTAAACTACAAGTTCAATTACGTACACGCAGCACAACTTGTTTTATTTAGTTCGGTGGTACTCGATTAATCCACATTGCACATGAATGGTACGCGAAAAAAAAGTTTGAGAACCGCTGCTTTAACTTATATCTCAGTTTACGTGTTCAAGGGTTTGTCGAGAAAATATTCTTAAAGCTCTTTTATTTAATAATAAAACACGCTCGAAAAAAAACGTATAGAGAAATTTTTTTTAAGTAAATAAAAAATATACTGTGAAAGACCGTATTTTTGTTAGTAAACCCTGAAAATGTTGTACAAATCAAACGAACAGTAACGAAAATACAGCGCTTAAAAATCGTCAAAAATGACCATTTTTCAGCAAAATAATCAAAAAGGGGTAATATTTACCGACTTTGAAGCGCTGTATCTTTGTTACTGTTCGTTTGATTTGTACAAAATTTTTAGGGTATACTAACAAAAATACGGTCTTTAACACAATATTTTTAATTTACTTAAAAAAATTCTCTAAAAGTTATTTTTAGAACTTTTTTTTTATTGTTTAATTAAAGGGCTTGTAAAATATTTTTTGAAAAACCCTCGGACACGAAAACTGAGATATAAGTTGAAGTATTTTTATACAAAATTTCATAAAGATTGGTAAAGGCGTTTAAGAATGAGAATTTTTTTACTTATTATGCGTTAATTTTGACGGGCAGTGTAATATTATTAAATCTCAACATTTTTAATAATCCTTTTGCAAGATTTTTTATGATTCTCTATAATATAAGTAGACTTTTATTTTAAGATTTGTTATTGTACATTTCCAGTAACTAATTCTTACCGTAATGGACTCGAGATTGAGATGCATCGCGTGCCCTTGGCTCTGTATTTCCGCGCACAGCTCTCGAACTTTTTGTTTGTTCTTTTCCAATTGCTGAGAACTCAATCCGCAAACGTCCAAGGCTTGCTGATAACTGACGTCGGATTCGAGAAGGTTCAACATGAGCTCGAGGCAATCGCGATCCAGATCCATGTTCAGTCTGTCCTGGCTCAACACGAACATCACGGTGGCCGTGCAAAGACCGAGGCTTTGGTCTCTGGTAGCGTCGTGTAAGGCCTAAAACAATATCAAATAACACAAAGTGTATGGCTCAAAAGTTTTGAGTTTTGAGTCAAAACAAAACACACTATGTCTAAAAGCGTATTTCAATCCTTGATAAGAGGCTAACTTGCGTGTCTTCTTCTTGAGTATTGAACCCATCCAATGAATCTCTAAAAATATCTTTAAATCCTACTTAACTGGAAGAAAACAATACACAAGAGTAGGTGATGAAGTTAGTGACAAAGGGGATATATACTATGGAGTGTCACAGGGTTCCATCTTGGGTCCTTATCTATATTTATTATATATAAATGATCTTCAATTTTATATATTTTATGGAAAAATGATGATCTATGCTGACGACACGGCTCTTTTCTATGAAAACACAAATGACAAGGAAATAGAACACCAACTACAAAGAGACATACACAAATTGTTAAAATGGACTAATACAAACAAATTTACTTTAAATAGTGCAAAATGTCACATAATAAACTTTGAAAGTAAAACAAAAAAACACAACATAAGAATCACCATAAATTCAGAGAAAATTATAGAAGAAAAAATTAAATACCTTACTATCGATAAAAATCTAAACTAGAAAAGTCACATTAGTCAGCAAAACAAACAACTTTCGACATACAAAGGGCTTGCCCATAAAATATGTAACATTCTGCCTGAAAAACAAAAAAGGATGATTTACGAAGCCTACATAAAAAGCAAAATAATGTATAGGATTCCTTTTTGGGCCACAGGTAATAAAACTGAAATAAGCACACTACAAAGAAAATAAAACAAACTATTAAAAACCTTATACAATCTAAAAAAATCTACACCAACAAAGGAAGTATACAAAATAACAAACACATTAGATATTGAAGAATTAATAGAAATGGAAACAATAAAAATAATAAAAAAAATACTGGAAAAAGAACACATTGATGAAGACTTAAATATAATTATAAGATCTGAAGTACATGGACACATGACAAGCAGGGTTCCCAGCATTGTTTTGTACTTTTTTTTATGATTTTATGACAAATTTTTCAAATTTTATGACATTTTTTATGACAAGAATTTATTATTTCCAAAGTTATTTAATAAAATAAATGTAATTTTTTAACGGTTTATTATATAAAAATAAATATTTTTTTTCGCATCAAAATAAATATTTCTGCTATAATATTTTTAATATATGTTACTTTAGTATTTTATTATAATAGGTATTATAATCTCAAAATAAATAAAACCACAAAGGTATACAAATCTGAAATATTGGAGGCTCAAACAATGATTAACATGGGTCTCAAAAAAGCAAAAAAAAATAGTATATATACCTATAGGTACTATTTATTTTGCTTTTTTAGACCCATGTTAATCATTGTTTGAGCCTCCAATATTTCAGATTTTTAAGAGTAGTTATGTAGTTATTGTTAAGGTACTTCGATAATTTCTTATTTCCTTCAGAAATAATATTTCTTGTTATTTTTAACTCTGCTTCCTTATTTGCCAAAATAGTATCAATTTCTTCTTTGTGCCTTCCTTAGTAAAGTAATATAGTATAAAAATAAATTTACCTTTCTACCATTATTTATTTCAAATTTAAAATTCATTTCCTAACCTAACTTCTTTTTCCTTCATAGTATGAAGTTCATACGTCAACAACCAAGGCCATATTTAAAACATTTTATTGCGTTTTATTCTACAGGACCGGATTTAAATTTTATTTTACAAAATTTCCATTTTATAAAAAAGATCAAAGGTGAGAAAATTGTTAAAAAATAATTAAATTTTATGATTTCTATGACAAAATATGAATTTTATGACATTTTAGGACAATTTAACCAATTTTATGATATTTAAAAATTTTATGACAAACGGGAACCCTGGACAAGAAACAATCACAAAATCAATATACCAAGCTCAAAGACCAAAATAGGACAAAAACGAATACTGACTGATTCAGAAGGTGCCAGACTCTATAATGATATACTGGAAGAGATCATGAACACAAAGTTTTAAAAAACAATTAAAAAAATTCTTTATTATAAACAGAAGGCAAAACACCCTAATCTAATGTGTATTTTCTTGTTTACTGCTGTTATTTAAACATCTAAATATTTATTATTGTAACTATTTAGATATTATTCTCAATAAAAAAAAATTGTAGTGTATAAAAAATAAACGAAAAAAAACCGTTTGTTTTTAAGTCTAAAAAACATCTCAAACCAAAAAAGTAAGTATTTTTCTTACCTTGAAAAACTTTGCGACAGTACCGTGCGCTCTGACGTGCATCCTGAACGCAGGCGCCATACATTTAGACGCCAGACTTATGGCAGAAAGACACCTAGTGCTGATGGGATTATTGTCTTGCAACGCGTCCAGAATGTACTCGACATCGTCGTTAAACTCCTGAAACTCGCCGATTTCCTGTATCTGATGGGCCTTCTTCACGTTCCTCACGACGGTATAGAACTCCTTGTCTCCCTTGTTGCACTTGACGCTCGTTATGGTTTCGTCCTCGTTTTTGCTGCGAGTAATCCTCTGCAGAGGTTCGTCGGCGAATCCGTAATCGTCGTCGTCCGTGCCGCCCGTGCCTTTGTTTTGTTCGGCGGGCGTTTCCGAAGCCTTCTGCTCCGAGTCGACCCACTTGTGCTTGTAGAGGGCGCGCCGGTTCTTCGTCGTGCTACCGTCGGAGGCGACGGCTCTGAAAAAGGTTACATTTAGTTATACAGGGTGTCCCAAAAGTCAACAAAACCCTTTGGAGGACTGATAGACCAACTCATGACTAAGCCAAAAATGAAAATATGACCTTAGTAAAAAATCGTTCGTTTTTGAGATATAGTCATTTTTATGAATTTTGTAAAACTAATAAATAAAAAAAAAATCTACTATTAATTTAATTTTAAATTGTAATTAATAGCAGTCCTATTCAAGGTTACGCAAAATAAAATATAACCTAAGAATATAGAATTTTGTAGTTAAGGCACTCGAAAAACTGATTTTATGTGTCAAGTTTCACAAAATTCATAAAAATGCCAATATCTTAAAAACTAATGATTTTTTACTAAGGACATGTTTTGATATTCTGATTAGTCATGAGCAGACCTATTGGCCCTTCAAAGGATATCGTTGAATTTTGGGACACCCTGTATATAGAGATGTGAGATTTGAAAAAAACATGAAAAAAAAAACTAAAAAAAAAAGTTTTTTTATTTTTTTCAAATCCGCTACAATAAAGCCTATTCTGTCCATAAATAACATCAATCCTAAATAATGGAATTTTTATATATTTTTCGGATTATGCAACTAAAAATATCCTTTTTTTGCCTGTTGAATTGTTTTCATATCTTGCTTCGTTTCCGAGAATTAAAAATAAAACCATTTGGAAAACAAAAACCATTTAGAAACAAAACCATAAATTATTAATATTTTTTGCTGTTTAAAAACAAAGGTGAAACATTAAAACAAACATAAAAAATTAAAGGATGTTTGAAATTTTATGAAAGAAAATATAAAAATTACCAGAAACTCAGTGGCGTATTATTTGTTAAGGGCCCCCCTGAGACGTCTCTGGACGTAATAATTTTAATCTAGTTAGCGCTTAAAGAGCGTTTTATCACTAAAATTATCATAACCAGAATTAAATGAACATCTGTTTAAGGATATTAAAAATATTTATAATTAAAATTATAAACAAAACTTAACCCCCAATTTATCTCCTTTCATGTTGGATTTATCAAAAATTTTTGATCAAAAATTAATTTAAAAGTTCCTGTCATAGAAAAAATTATTTGCACAGTGGCGCCACCTACATCTTGTATTATTCAATAGTATATGGGCTTGACCAATGCAAGAAACGTAAACTTTCTGCCGTGAAATCGGGGACGAAACAACGTATTTTCAGTCGAGGTAGTAAGAAAACACATTTTTACACAGTTGTGAAGCCAATCATAGAGGCTAAAAACAGAATTTAACACCCTGTATAATGAGTAATATACGCTAAAGAAGTATCGGGTTTTCGCAACGCGCGCGCCATCTGGTGGACTTTGATAGCATTGCGTGAATTTAAGAATTGTCAACAAAACATTTAAAGCACAGATTATACATAATTTTTAAATAAAAAGTTGGTTTTTTCACAAAAGAGAGGAAGGCAGAAGTCTTACTCGACAAATTTTGTTTAATTGCATAGCTAAATCGCGCACGTTATTTGTGTTTTACGTTGCAAGGAAAAAATTAAAAAACTTTTTTAGTACTCGATTTTGATTGATTATTCCTTATACACGGAGAGAAAAATTTTGCCAAAATAACTATCCAAAGTATTGTTAAATGACGTATCGTGAATTTAGTCAACTGTTTTATTAAACTGAGGATCTGTATAGCTAATTTAGCCATACAAATCCTCAGTTTAATAAAACAGTTGACTAAATTCACGATACGTCATTTAACAATACTTTGGATAGTTATTTTAGCAAAATTTTTCTCTCCGTGTATCATTGATTAAGAAACTCAACGCTTAAATGCTTATATAGTAACGTAACTGTGTGTGTATTTTATCTAAGGGATCATGGTGAATTATTGTGTTTTTGTGAGTATGAGTATAAGAGTATAAGAGACGTATAACCAGCCCCATTTCCTCTTGACTCTTAAACCCCGTACAGGCCTATGTTTACTTACGCCGATTTTTGTTCTTCCCCAGCAACTGCACGGCTTCACCCGTGTTTGCTGGGTGCGAATGTCCATTGCGTTCTGTACTGTCCCCTATTTGGGGCTCGAGAGCGAGAGGCGAATAGTTATAATAGCCGTTCCCGGGTTCGCCGGGCCTATGCTATACGCTCAGTGAGGTATGGATGAGGGACGGGAGGGAGTTGGTTTTTGGGGGACAATTACGCCGACTTAAAACTAAGTACGACGCGGAATCCCCCTAGACCAGTCGGTTAGTATTACTCCAAACATTTGGGATTACTATTTGGAGTTGGGGAGTTGTTATTACGCTGCAGGGGTGTAGTTTCCTAGTCGAGGTCTTCGTCTTGTTCATTATTGTCATTATCCGTGTCGGATAGTTCCTGAACTTGGTAAAGTGTGTCGGTTGTTTTTTTTTTTTTTATTTTATTTTTATTGTTGTTTAGTTGCTCCCAACTGGTCTTGTTACTTTGTGAGAAGTGCATGTATTGTGCTACGTGTCATGAAATGTGAAGCATGGTCTACCGATTTTTTTTGTCTTTAAGATCTAGTTTAAGGGTGGCTTGTAGTTTGTTGCGTTGTCTACGAGTGACGTGGACCCAGTGTTTAATTGGGCTACTCTTACCCTTTTGGTAATGGTTTTTCCCATTGGTACGATAATCGGCACACATGATAAACTCCCCCGCAAAGAAATACAACCCCCCGCGGCCCCCCCGGAAGACAATCCACACAACGGCAATCGTGCTACGACTACCGCCGTGTAGACCATCCCCCGTATAGGCCACGGGAGGCTGCACCCCCCCGCGGAGGAGCCCATCACTCGTGCCGAGCGTAAGGCCGCAATCACTGCGATAAGGCAGTTCCCAGTGGGGGTATTTTTTTTTACTTTTACAAATTTTATAATTTTTTAAAAGTTCGCTTCTTTCTCTTTTACTTTTTTTTTTATGATTAAATTATAATAATTATTGTTGCATAATTATTACAATTATTGTAACTTAATTCCGAAAATTCGATAATTTTATTTACCCAATTCGTTAATTTCAACTTTTACATCTGGCAATACTGCTATTCACACTCAACTTGTTTATGTTTTTTGTCTTCTTGCATATTTAGTTTATTTATTTATTTATCTTACGCCTTTTTCGATGGTTGTTTATGATTTGTCTGCTATGAGAAAATGAGGTTGTTTGTTTAAACTTAAGGAAATGTTCTTATTCTTTTTTAATTTAGTTTTTGAGACAATAAAAGAATTCTTAGTATTTTCTTTTTGCAACATTGTGAAATGCTTACATAAACATTGTGAAATGCTTTTATAAACATTTAGCGAATATACGGTAAGACATGCAATTGGAAAAAATAACTTAGCTTGAGTCCAGTAAATTTCGTGGAAGTGTCGTCTCTCTCACACCTTTTAACCAGGTCCAACACTTGAGGATTTAATCAATGGGGGAGGTACCACACACAATTTGCACTTTTTTGCACTTGGGACAGTTATCACGTTTAGAATCGATTGATTTTTTATTATTTTACGGCGTTAACCAGTTATCACGTTACTACATTTGTATCGTATACGCTGCTTAAGAGAGATCGATGAGCATATGCTTACACTTCAAGCGTCAAGAGCAGAATGGTGAATTATTGTGTTTTTAATTGTAAATAAAATTCAAGAACTAAATCGTTGCATTTTCATGTTTTGCAAAAGGATCCAATTCGGTAAGTACATTTGCAGAATTATCTAATGATAACTTTACCTAATATAATTTATATTTAATTTTGGACATTTTTAAGAAATTAGTAAAAAATAATTTTTGCAGAAACATAACCTTAAAATCAACCATTTCTCTAATTTATTGAAAAACGGACATACGGATACATGAAAATTAAGCTTTATTAAGCAATTGCTGCCAACTTAATTTGGTTAAAATGCATTAAAATATTCAATTACAGACTTCGTTTTATATATTTAGTATTGGTAAAAATTGTTCTTACCGGCTTTTAAAGATGCTGCCCTTCTTCTTCGAAATAACGAGCTTGACTGGGGCCTGAGTAGGCAGGTCTCGCTCAGGTGATGGCTTCTTTTCCAGAATTTTATCCCTTATTTGATCTTTGTGATCGTCTATGCTGAGCCTATGCTGTCTGGCCGAAGATTCTTCGGTCGCTGAAATCACTTGTTTCACCTCCAGATCGCCACTGTTACTGTCATTGTCAGTGGACCATTCCTCCTCAAAACCTTTTTTCGTTGGAGGTGGTTTGTCCTCTGGAGGGGGGTTTTGCTGTAGAGCTGCACTAACCTGAGGACAAATGTGTGTTTTATACATTGATATATTCAAAATTGTCAATTTTTGAGTTATCCACAAGTTCATGCTCTTAAAATTCCATAGCGTATACTAGCTTTGCCAATTTGCAAAAACTTGTAACTCGATTGTTTTAAAACTATTATTGCTGGAAGGCAATATGTTTAGTTTAGTGAATTTAAATATACAAGGTGTTCTCGAAATGCCTGTACAAAATAATGCGTTATAACTATAACATTACCTTAAACAGTACATCCATGCAAAAGTTGATAATAACCAAGATACAGGGTGTCAAAGTTAAAAGTTCGTTTGGAAAAAACAAAACGATTTTACAGAAAATTTTATATTCTGGGTTTTTTTCGGAATATTTGCGTTTAAATGGTTTAGTGTAAGTAACCCTTTAATTTGGACTAATTTGTCTTAAAATAAATATTAAAAAAAAAAAATATGTAAAAAAAATAGAGATTGGAATCGGAAAGTTTCCATTTTAAGGAAACTTTCCGTTTTGGAAAGTTTCCAATTGGGAATTTATTTTCATTTTGAAAGTTTCTTTTAAGCTACCGGAAACATTCCTTGGAAACATTCCTTGGAAACTTTCCTTGTTTTTTTCATTTAAATGTCAATTGTTTAACAGCTGATTTTCGTTAAGGCCATGATACAAGGCCAAGAAACTTTGAATAAGAATTTAATTTGTGTTAATTTAAAGCAGAAGAAGAAGTATAAATAATGTAAGTTATGTTACATAACCTCAATGAAGCCGGATTATTCAGCATCAACACAAAAAACTTTTTTAAAAAAAGGTAAACAAAATAAAAACAATAAACAAAGTTAAAATCATTCCTACATTTTTGTTGTTTATTTATAAGCATAGCACAATGCCAAGAGAAAAATCTTGTGTTTGGAATTATTACAAAATAATGCAAAAAAACAAAAAAGACCATGCTCAAAGCAAGTTCTGTAAGAAAATCTATGTCGTTAATGCAACCAAAAATTTGACAAAAAGTTAATGTGTTATATATTTTTGCAAATCCCAGGCATAAAAAAAATATTTTCGCAATAAAAATTTTTTTTTTGAAACTTTCGGAAAATTTCGAGAATTTTCGATGGAAAGTTTCCGGGAAATTTCGTCAAATGGGAATTTTCCCATCTCTAAAAAAAAACATAACATTTTGAAAAACATTGACGGATTTGGACAGTAACCAAATTTGTAGCGACTTTTAATGTACCGTAAACACGGGCGGCTTTAGCTCACTTTCAAATTTAAGCTTATCATTTTTGCGGTTTTAACAATCATTAACATTAAATATTATATACCGTAAACACAGGTGACTTTGCACCCCACAGGTGACTTTAACCTTTTTATGAAAAATCTTTTCGCGCTCGATAAAATTAACATTTATAATTTGTTGGTCTAAACCTGTCAATTGAACGATTCTAGTGAGTTTATATTACAGGAAAATCAGTGTTTTAAAGAAATAAATGAGATTTATTACACTTTAAAATTAATTATATTGCATCAGTGCAGAACTCCTAGAAATACACGCGTTACAATTTCTATATTAGCCGCAATCCTTGGTTAACCGGTCCATTTTTTATTTTTTTTATCGGTAATCCCTGTGTCTAATAAAAATAAAATAAAATATTGAGTTAATTTTATACGGAAAATACACTGTGAGACAAAGTTACCCGCAACCAGGGGGTAACTTTGCACACACTTTTTAATTTTTATTTTTGAAACTCAGTCCTATGTAATATTATAACATAGTTATTATGAAAGAGCAACTCAAGACTCAAATTTTGGTATACAATATTTAATGTTTGATTGTTAAAACCACAAAAATTTTAAGCTTAAGTTTGAAAGTGAGCTAAAGCCACCTGTGTTTATGGGTATTTTTTTTAACCATAATCGGAAGATGTGAACTTTATGTCGAAATAAAAATAAAAATTATTTTCAAATTGTTTAAGTATTTAATTAACATATCAAATTCGGCGTTCCTATTGAGACACCCTTTACTAAGGCGTAAAAAAGATGTGACCATTTAAACGTATGCACTTTTTTAAGAAATTTTATTTTACCGACCTGACAAATCTTCAAAAATCAAATTTGGTGCAAAACCGTTTGTTTTTCCAAAGTTATTTAATAAAATTAAAAATGAACCTTAAACTGTATTTTGGTTATTATCAACTTTTGTATAAAAAAGTAAATTTAGTTATGTCAGATTATTTTGGACTCCCGAATATGTGGTATCATTGTGAACAGGAATATTTAAATATTAAAATATTTTAAAAACGATACAATTTGAATTCCTAGAAGATTGAAATTTTCTAGAATAAAAAATAACAGTAAACAAATAAGCTAATTTGTAATCAGAATTAAACTATGTTGATTTATTTAAAAGATATATTAAATAAAATTAAAAAAGTAAACTTTTTAAAATATATTTTTATAGAATAAATCCAAAGAACATATTATGAGTTATAACAGGTGCTATGCTTCACATCAAAGTCATTTAAATACAAATAATTGAGGTCAGTCTAACACAAATTTCGTCATTTTTATGTATATAGATAGAACACATACAATATTTTTAGAAAATAGGACGAAATTTGTTGTTAAACTGAAAAATAGATAAACTCAATTTTTTATATTCAAATATCAAGGTGGGACGTTTTGATGTGAAAGTATTTAGTAAATCTAATACATTAAATATAGTGTTTTGCATACTTGGTAATGAAATTTAAGCTCAGCTTTTTATAATGTACTATTTATTAAAAAAAATATATTCACGAGGTTTTTTAATTATTAAAAAAATAATGAACAACTTTTGCATGCCACTATAAATTTAAATAATAATGTACATAAAAACGTTAAATAAGGAAGAAAAAGTATTTACCTGTGAGTGAATTGCCGCTTCTATATTTTCTATCGTTTCCTCCACGTCCATTTCACTATTATCATCGTTATCGTTGCCTAAATCTTCCGCAGGTTCTTCAGGAACTTCCCCTTCGCCTTCACCTTCGCTTTCTTCCTCTTCCATTTCCTCGTTATTTACAGCAGATGCGGCGACATCTACCGACTGCGCGGCATCCTCGCTTACTGTACTGTCGTCTTTTTCTTTGTTGAAAGAATCGTCTTCGTCTGTGGTGGCCTGCAAAGTAAATACGTGTAAATTACTGCAAACAAATTACAAAAAGTAAAAAGAGCAAAATTATATAAACTATTGAGTTTTATCAGGGATATTTACAGGAGAAAATGCCAAACATTTTTATAGGGAAGAAAAAGTTTTATAAACGCCATTTTGGTCACGAGTTTTAATTTGACACGAGCGAAGCTTGCGAGCAACTTTTTGATAAAAATGAGTGTCTAAAGAAGTACATCTAATCAATATGTGTTTTTTCAAAATCGGCCAAGTAGGTAAAAAGAATATTATTTTAAATTGACGAATAACACGTTTATTTTTGTATTTGAAAATCAACTTTATTCTTAATTATCCATAGGCAGGCAATCAGTCTCACTAGTTTTCAAAGCAAATAACATAAGATGGTGTGATATGTAGTACTTATCTATTTGTCTAAAGCTAAGCAAATCATATAAATCGTACGTAACCTCGTCTCATAACAATAACATACAAAATTTCAGGGCTCCCACACCTCCTAAAACTCATAAAATTCCTAAAATTTGGCTTAAATCTTAAAAACTCCTAAAATTGCCATCAATCTCCTAAAAATCCTAAAAATTAAATATAAATAGGCCAACCTGACTGAGTTTAATTATGGTAGTTGTCGTGCTAAAAATTTCTTTTTTACAAAGTAATTTACAACTATATATTTTTGATTCTAGTTTATTAAATTCTAACTATATATCACGACCTACATTTTTCTTAAAATACAACAAAATATACCTAAAATACAAAGTAGTAGCTCCTAGACTTCAACAAAATTGTCATTTTTAGCCGTATATCGTTTGTTTTTGACAAAAAATATCAAACAATAGGATTTTTAATTTTATTTTAAATGACAGCTAAAATAGTAAACAATCTAAAGAATGTTTTTCTGCTTTATATATTTTCTATTATGAGATTTTTAAGTAGCAAGATCCATATTACAATTATTGTCAATCATTAACAAAACGGTTTAAAAAAAATTTCTCAAAATATAAATATAACATCATTTGTCTTTAGCCTATTTTTTTAGCCATATCTATCGACGCTTTTTTTTTAAATAAAACTAAAAGTGTGTTGAAATTTCTACTTGTGTATATACTTTATATACAAAAAGTAATTTTATCTCACTTTTAATTTTATAAAAGAAAACTCGTAGAGCGACTTGGCAAAAAAGTTATATTTATTTATATTTATGTTAAAAAGAATTATTTATTTTTTTCTTCTTTTTAAGTACATTGTGGAGTTGTTTTTATCTAATTACATAAATTCATTTGCATACTTTATTTATCCTAAAATTCTCCAAAAAACCTCCTAAATTCCTAAATAAAATTTGTAATTTAGCCGTGGGAGCCCTGAAATTTGTAGTAGCGGAAGCATAAATTGGATAGCATGTATTCTGCTCTATGCCATGCCAACAGCAGCAAATAAATAATATTTTTTAAAAGCAAAATAATAATAATAATAATATTAATTAAATAATAAAAATATACCCGTTGAAGAAAACGCTAAAGTTCTTTTTTTATTCAGAATTTGACAAATTTGATTATGTTGTGTACTATTATTACTTTTGTCGGTCACTGTATATAGTACTACTATATACAGTGACAGGCAAAAGTATGGAACAAATTCATTAAAAAACAAATCCTTGAACACGTCGATTTTATTTTTCAATTACGCACATTTTGATGTAACATTTTTATATTAGGCGACATTTTTGTAGAAGCTATGACGTTATCGGCCATTTTTTTAAAATGCACCCCATTTTTTTTGCAGATTCGAATAGAGTATGAAATTCTGGTTTTGGCAATATGCACATGTATACCTTGTGGGCTGATAGTTTCAAAGATATTAATTTTTAAAAGTGAAATTTTTTTAGTTTTTTTTCAAAATAAAAAAGTTGTTGTCGCTGAAATGTTCATAAAATCTATTTAAATACTTTATTTAAAGTATAAACTTTTTCAGTCGTACTTATTTTTTTATTATTTTTTTTTCTAAAAACAGCAGGTGTATTTCTTTGTTGATTTTAAACCAAAATTGGATACTTCTGGCACAAATTTTTAGTCGAGTGTTCAGCAGGTTTTACATCTTTCCAAGTATGGCCCATTTGACAGAAACACAGCGAATTGAACTCAACAAGGAGCATGCGATTTGTTTAATGCAAAGTATCCAGCTCGACCTATTACTCTTTTTACTGTTAGTACAATAGAACAGAAATTTAGAGAGACTGGACATGTCAAAGATATTCCAAAATCTGTCCGTCCGAAAATTAGTGAAGACGAAAAAATTGACATTTTGTTAAGTGTAGAAGAAGATCCTCACAGTGCTTCTAGCCTAGTTGCAGCTGAAAGTCAAGTCAGTGAACGCTCAGTGTTACGTCTGATGAAGAAAGAAAATTATCATACATACAAAATTAGACTCGTGCAGGAACTTAACGAAGATGATCCGGACCCTAGACTACAATTTTGTGCAACTATGATGAATTTATGTCACAATAATCCACACTTTTCTCGTAAAATACTCTTTTCAGACGAAGCTACCTTCTGCTTAAATGAAACAGTTAACCATCAAAATTGTAGGTACTGGAGCAGAGAAAATTCTCATTGGAAGGTAGAGGCACATTCTCAATTTCCGCAAAAAGTGAATGTATGGGCAGGAATGATGGAAAATCGGATCATAGGTCTTTTCTTTTTTGACGAGAATCTGACAGGACAAAGATGTTTGGAATTTTTGCAAATTTCTCTTCTTCCTACATTAGCGGAAATGTGTCCCAACAGCAGGACGGGGCACCTCCGCACTATGCGCGTCCTGTCCGTACTTTTTTGGGCACCTGTTTTCCTGAAAGGTGGATTGAAAGACGAGGACCGATAGACTGGCCCGCGAGATTTCCGGATCTAACCCCTCTCGATTATTTCTTATGGGGCTACCTTAAATCAAAAGTCTACATAAACAGACCACAAAATTTAGAAGACTTGAGAAATCAAATTCGTGAAGAATGTCGCTGTGTCAGTGCGAAAGTCATTCAAAACGTTGTCAGAGAATGGGGTAGTTAAATTTTTTCTGACCCATACTTTTTATGGTTTTATTCAAGGCGTTTTGTAATATTAAACATTTCTGTGAAATCAGAATTTCAATTGAGTTTACCGTTTTCGAGATATTTACAAAAAATATACATTTTTATGACGTCACAAACCTCGCCATGTGACCAACATTCTAAGATTTCTATTGGTTGAAAATTACCCTGTTGTCAAGTTGTCTTGTTAATGATTTCATTCGGTTATGTCAGAAAATACCCGAAGAGGTTATGTACAAATACTGTCACTGTCAGTTGAGTGAAAGATGGTCACCAAATTCATTAAGTACCTATCTTCCTTATTACGAGGTATCATATTACTGTTTGATATTTTAGAGTCCAAGATATATCTAAAAGAATATAAAGAACTAGGCATTATACTAATGAAATGCATTTACGACAAAATATGATTATAATTATAGGTATTTACTTTATTTGTTTAAAAGCTCCAATGTTCAATGTAATCAACCATTCCACAAGATTCCTCTGCTTTGGAGTCCGTTATTAATAAATCACTTATCTAATATCAATTACAAATAACATAACAATAACATTGATTTTCAATAATCTAAATTTAAAAAAAAAACATAACCCGAAAAAAAGAAACGTCAAAAAATCAATTCTTCTTCTTCTTCTCAACTAAAATTTTAGATCAAGTAGTTTTAAAACTAAAATATTATAACGTGGCGCCATCTATCGTAAGAATCTTAAACTAAACACCATAGAAAAAGCTGGCAACGTTGTCAATAGCCTAGTGACGTAATTAGGAGACTTTTTTTTGTAAATATCTCGAAAACGGTAAACTTAATTGAAATTCTGATTTCACAAAGATGTTTAAAATTACAAAACGCCTTGAATAAAACCATAAAAAGTATAGGTCAGAAAAAATTTAACTACCCCATTTTCGGATAGGCTTGCTTACTGCCAAGAAACCAACGGGGTGGCAATTCGAGCATTTAATTGGTTAAAAGGTGTAATTTTTTGAAAATAGGAAAAATTAAATCACAAACTTGGAAATTTATATTGGTAAAACCAGAATTTCATACTCTATTTGAATCTGGAAAAAAAGTTGGGGTGCAATTAAAAAAATGGCCGATGACGTCATAGCTTCTACAACAATGGCGCCAAATATAAAAATGTTACATCAAAATGTGCGTAATTGAAAACCAAAATCGACGGGTTCAATGATTTTTTTTGAAAAATTACATGAAGTTTTTAAATGAATTTGTTCCATACTTTTGCCGGTCACTGTATAAATATACTTTGGTATTTTTAATTTTTTTAATTTGCACTCCTGTTCAATGCCTTAATTTTACTTCAACACTTTCATTTAAATAATAGAATTATATATATTATAATTATAATTAACAATGCCAAAAATAACAGAAAATTCTAAAAAAGAAATTTTAAAAACAAAACAGCATTTTTATGAAATAAATTGTATTTAAAGTTCTTTTTTTTTATCTGGACTGCGGCAACGTTGCAAATTTGGGTAAATAAAAAACCAAAATTGGTCGCCTTGATTAAAACAAACTAAGCTAGTTATAAATCTAATTGTGGTTATGTATAAATTATTGTAGGTTACATTGTGCAGTTGTCAAGTTGAGTTGTCGAAATTCGTAGTTAAAAATACAATTAATTTGGCTTTAAAAAAAAGTAGTTAAATATAGGTTGCTTTACGGCCCAGAAGAGAAAGTATTCCTAGCGGATAATAATCTTCGCTTTGAAAAGAATTTATATAAAAGAAATTAAAATTTTTTGTGAACGTAAATGTTGTTCAATGGTGAATAATGTGAAAATAATGTGTGATGTAAATTTATAAAACCAAATTCGTTACTTTTTTACTCCAAAAATATCCATAAGGCGATGTACTTTTTCTTCCATTGTGGCATTTGGCATAATTTCATCAAAATGAAGTTTTGCCCTTAAAAGGGCTTTTACAATCGAATTCGTTGCTATTATTTTTGGCATAATTATCTTTATAATAAATATTATTGTCAATTTTACAGTGTGAAAATATTTAATTAAATTATTTAGCAGAAGTACCATTTTTAAATACTAAAAATACCAAGTCAAACTGGCATAAGCCACCAACCTAACAAAAAAACCCGAGTCCAGGTAAAAAAAAATGAACTGTATTATTAATTATAAATTAATTTCGAATAAAAAAAACAAACTGTTGACACCTACATTTAAACTGTCAAACCAAATTTTAAATGACATTTGTCGGTTGTGTTTGTAAATCAACAGTTAAATTAATTTTAACAATATATATCAGATAATTTAGGATATAATTCAATATGCACCTTAGCAATAAAGTAATTTTTTAGTTGTTATTTGCCTCAGGCCTTGCCTCGGCAAATAATGTCCACATTCGTGAAAAAAAATACGACTTTATTGCCTTGATAGATAAATATCTGTTTTTTCTTAAAAATGTGACTTTGGTAATGCATATAGGTCAAAATACAGGAGTTGTAGTAAAATTGCAGCAAAAATGTAATTTAAATAGAAAAACTTTTAAATCAAAATTAAAGTAGGTAGGTTTAGGAGGATGATTAAGGGGTGAAACTTTAAGGGAATTTTTTTTCGATATACATTGATCAGTATTTTGCTATGGAAGTGAACAAAAAAAATGGATCACTACGTAATCCAAATGAAATAATCATAAGTAAGTGGGATAAAAACGATTGTATTTACCGTGTGCGCAGGCGTCGTCAGAGAGCCTCCCAACAGCGTTTCGTACATTGCCTGCCTCTCCAATTCGTACTTTTCGGCCGGAATATACTGAGGCGACAGGTCGTTGTCCTGCGACGCCTTGGGAGACGTGAACAGCGAGAACTCGCCCGGCGTATCCGCAGTAGCAGGGCTGCTGCTCGGGTCTTGCTGCATGCTGCGCCGCGCGCTGCGCGTTATCCTGCAGTTGGTGGGCCGGGTTGCGGCGTTGCCGGGCGACTCGCTGACGCTGTTGCGCGCCGATCGGGGCGACGCCGAGGTGGAGGGCGTGCTCGACGGCGTCGGCGTGCTTTCCGACTCGTCCGAGTCGTTCAGCAACTGCGATTTACCTGCAGGAATAACGGATTGTGACTCGGGCATGCTTCGCAAACCCTCTTTTCCTAGATTTAAATTTAAATTAAGGTAAATAAAAAATAAATAAATCATAAATTTACAAAAAAATTATAGTTCTCATAAAACATTTTTGTTAATTTTGTGTTAATAACAGTAAGAAAATCTAACGCCAATTATATCTAGTTAAATACCATGGTTTCTAATTTTGGTAATAACGATAAATTAGAAACGAATAATTGGGCCAAATTTAGCGAAAAATGTAGATAGTAACCAATTAAAGTAATACAAGTAATTAATCTGCGAAAAATTGCCCACAATTAAAATTTAAAAAAATACTGTATAAAACACAATAAAATTTAAAATTTTCTTATGAAATCTTTAATACACTGCGCGTCAAAATTAACGCATAACAAGTAAAAAAAAACCCACTCTAAAAAGCCTTTACCAATCTTTATAAAAAATTGTATAAAAAACTTATATCTCAGTTTACGTGTTCAAGGGTTTTTCGAGAAAATATCCTTAAAGCCCTCTTATTTAATAATAAAAAATATGTTGTGAAAGATTGTATTTTTGTTAGTATACCCTGCAAATTTTCTACAAATCAAACGAACAGTAACGAAAATACAGCGCATCAAAGTCGTCAAAAATGACCACTTTTCAGCAAAATAATAAAAAAGGGGTCATTTTTACCGACTTTGAAGCGCTGTATCTTCGTTACTGTTCGTTTGATTTGTACAAAATTTTCAGGGTATACTAACGAAAATACGGTCTTTAACAGCATATTTTTTTTTACTTAAGAAAAAATCCATTAAACTTATTTTTCGAAAGTTTTATTAATTATTAATTAGAAGAGCTTTAAAAATATTTTCTCCAAAAACCCTCGAACACGCAAACTGAGATATAAGTTGAAGTATTTTTATACAAAATTTCATAGATTGGTAAAGGCGTTTTAGAGTTAGAACTTTTTACTTATTATGCGTTAATTTTGACGGGCAGTGTATATTAGGGTGTCCCTTATTTTTATTTTTTTTACGCATACCCTCTAATTATATTTATTACGTGTTTATATACTCCCAGTAAAAATTTCAGCTCATTCTATAAACGGGAACCCGTGCCGACTTGCATCTGAACCCTCCGTTAGCCAACGTTAGGCGCGCGGTATTTTGTAACACGGTTGGTCGCGAGGTCTTCGATCGTAAGTCATTTTGTGTTTGTTATTATGTGACCCTTATATTATAAATTATTGACAAATGTTAAAATATAGTTTTATTTATGTGTATACTTTGATAAAAATGTATATTTTCACAGGGAGTGGCTAGTTACCCGGAAGGGTCTGGTGAATAGGCCGTAAACTCTGAAATTGATAAACTTAATGGGTTTTACTCTAAATAACTAAAAGAGTATATTGTTAGAGATGACTACCGAAAACTTATTGAGTTGTCTGAAATATTTTTGGGAGGACATCAAGAAAAGAAATGCTTATAAAAAGCTGAAATTTCATATAACAGTATATTTTAGCAATACTAATTAGTATATTAATATATTTAAGGGATAAAATCAACTAAATTAGTGAAACAAATGATAGAAACAAAAGCAATAATATTAATTGGTAATCATATTTAATAAAATCATTAGAAAAATACAGTCATGAAGTATATCTTCTTTTTAAAGTGTTTCGTGTTACAAAATACCGCGCGCGCCTAACGTTGGCTAACTGAGGGTTTAGATGCAAGTCGGCACGGGTTCCCGTTTATAGAATGAGCTGAAATTTTTACTGGGAGTATATAAACAAGTAATAAATATAATTAGAGGGTATGCGTAAAAAAATAAAAATAAGGGACACCCTAGTGTATATTCTATATAGGATAGGATTCCTTAAATAAAAATAAATTATTAAATATTTTTTTCCTTAACAAATTAAAAGCAGTGTAGTTACTTATGGAATAAATTAATTAATTCTAACCATCTGACCATTGTTTTCATAAGCAAATACAATAACAAAATCGGAGTACTAAAGGGTTTTTAGATATTAAGAAAAATATTATATTTTAAAACAATTACAACACTCTGGATCTCAAAAACGAAGCGGTTCCAGAAACTAGTTAATAGGAAGTTTTTTTTATTATTTAAAAGTGTTCTACAAAACCGATTTTGTTGGATTTGATAAGGCTGGGAATCGATTACGAATAATTTGAGTATTTGAGAATTGGAATATTCAAGTAATCGAACATTCGAGTATTCGAAAATTAAAATATTTGGATATTTGGGTGCCTGTTTTTCAAGTCTAAGCATGGGTATCTATATTATCTCCAATTAATAATCCATACAGAAATTTGACTATTTAGACTATATTAAGGCAATTTTTTAAGGTGAATTTAAATCTGACAAAATCTTCTTGCTAGCTTTAAAAACTGCCAAGATAAGATAATCAACTTACCCATGCTTAGCCTCGAAAATGCTATTAGCAAAAAACAGATACAATTATAATTTTTTTTTATTAAATTACTAAACCCCTCCAGATTACTCGTCAGCGCCAGTGAAATAAAAACGAGGAATTTATTTATATATTAAATATTTAAGAGCTTAATCATTAGATTATTTGAAGTATTTTAATGTTCGAATATCCAAATATTTAAAAAATCGAATATATAAGTATTCGAATCATGGGGCCTACACAAAGAATCCGAACTTAATATGGGAAATTAAAAAAAATGGCCCACTAAATTGCACAAATTAGGACTTGTTTTTAAACCACCAGCGGCGCTGATTGTCGATGCGTACTGACGTCTGCTGTTTTGGTAGCGTTTCAGTACAAATCAAACAATCAACGGAACACCAGCACCCTCTTATCTTAGGTAGGTTTTTGTATACATAAAATTCGGACTCCTTGTGTATGCGAATAGTTTAAATATTCAAATATTCGAGTATGCAAATAATTCGACTATTCCAATTAATATTCAAACAAGTATTCGAATTTCTAAAACTGAAAAATACACTGTATTAGGTATTTATCATTTCTATATTGTATTCTAAATATACAATTTTAGGGAAAATTTTACTGCTTTAAAAAGACAAAAAACCCGTAAAATTAATAATTGGATATTTATCAAAAACACAACCAGATTTATTAAGTGTTTTTTAGTTATTTTTAAATACATAGTCATATTAGAAATTCTTTTGGTTATATTTTTTTGGAGAATTATAAAAAATCTTACCTCTACAAATCCTTAATACTATGGGAGGCTTAACTTCCTGCTTCTGCTTGGAATTATTTACATTTGAACTTAGGACAGTCTTTTCTGGGGAAGATGAGTCAGAATTAGCCTTCTGAGAGAAGAACTTCCTGGGGGAACCCCTTGTGGGTTTCTCATCATAGGTTATCTTGGCTCTTTTGGAGGAATTACCATAACGGCCACCTGAATATGTAGGTTCTATATCAGGAGGTTCATTATTACGACTTTTGAAGAACTTCTTTGGTTTTGGGGTATTGTCTCCTTCACTAGCCGATGATTTATCATTTTCTACAAGAATAATTTATTTTTAAAAATATGCTTCTGCTATTTAGGTAATGCTCTAATAATTATTATTTAATTAATAAGGCCATGAAGAATTTAAAAGCAATTTGTTAACTTTGGTGTGAGGGCAAACATTTTTTTTTTGTGTTTATCTTAAAATTATATCTACAGTGCTTGCAAATCCAAGTCCGACCGCGTTGGGAAGGATGGTTGTTCAATACCCGCGTGAAAAGAATAAGGATAGAATGCCAAACAGAATTTTATTGGTCAGAGCGTTTAGCGTTCTATCCTTGTTATTTTCACGCGTCCTTCCCAAACCGGTCGGACTTGGATTTGCAAGCACTGTATAAATAGGTACGCCAGGCCCGTAGCCAGCCATAGGGTCCGACGGGCCTGGCCCCCCCGAAATTCCGTGAACCCTAAATATGTAAATCATGTTTTAAAAATATATCTATTGATTACAAGCCATACCACCCAAAAAATTATTACTACGTTTTGGCCCCCCCCAAACCAAATTTCTGGCTACGGGCCTGAGGTACACTAAAATTGTATTCATCTAATTCTGTTAAAAATCAATTTGAAGCATGCCAGCTCTCCTTCAATTTGGTTCTTGACATTTTTCATCAATGGCGTAAGGTCCAAGTTAAAAAAAATTATATGTCCACATTTTTTGGATGCTTTAAAATTAAAAATGGTTTTGTGTAGTTTAAAATATAACACAATAATATTTTTTCTCTTAACATGTGGGCAGTTTTTCCTACATTTTTGGTATGAAGTATCCTGCTTCATTAAATGCCTGAGCTATATCCTTACATTGATGATGTAGGTGTCAAGTTATAAAACTTACTAATTTTGTTTTAGCATTACATTTAGTTCTTACTGTACCTAATAAATACAGTAAATTTTGTTTTATGAATATAAAAACTTGACTACCCACCATTCTTAGCACGTATAGATGTGAATGAGGTTATGCCCCATTTTCCAACAGTTGCTGTCGATCTGGCAGCAGAGGGCCTGTTGCTGTTTTCTTTAAATAAATTGTCGAATAAAAAGCCCGAGTGAGAACCGCCGCCTCCGCGGCGATATTTACCATATCCTCTGGACATGATCAATTATTTAAATTGATGCTTTAGCATTAGAAAATCAGATTTCCATCATGGTCTATCCCAAACATATACAATAACCACTGCTACACATTACAGATAAGATTTTATCTCACACAAATTACTAGCATTATGCTTAAACCCAACTTTTAATCAAAATTGATTCACTCTCGCCATTTTCAGTAGGAAATGTTGGCGTATGTATTTTATACACTTTCTAGCATAGCGTAAATTTCTGGGAATGTGGCGGGATCATTTTCACATTATTCCATAATCTCTTTATGCCTAAAAAACCATATTTCTTGCTGAATAATGTTGTTTTTTCACTTGTCAAACGGGATTTTCACGTTATAAACACGCTAGTAAATAACGCCTACGAATTCAGCTACGACGCTACGAGCGAGCCAAAAATTGACAGACGTCAAATATTTTTGACAGCACAAACAGAAAACTAACCTCAAAATATAAGTAACTCGGTAACTTGATTTCTTTAATTTTAACAAAATGAACATATTCAATGGTAGTGCAATTTTACTATTAATATTACATTTATTAGTGTGTATTGAAGCGCATAATAAGTATTCAGAAAATGCAAATAAACCAAAAGAAGAGGACAACGCAGATGAGGTGGTTCTGGACTTGAGGCCTTCTAGTTTAAAACATCTTGATAGACCGTTTAGGATGGCCAAACTTAATTTATTATGGACCAAAGCTGTAGTGGTATGTAAACATTAGTTTGAATTTAAACATTTAAAGGATTTTTTATGCTTGAATTTAAAACCAGAAGATTCTATAGAGTAAATTTTTATACATGACTGATAATTAAAATTAAGGTTTATTTTAAAATTTTAATTGCTTTTTATTATACACTATAGGACACTGTAATTGAGGTTGTAGATCTCCCCTAGTAGCAATTCTGGAAAAGTCTTGGCCCAGCATGGGTCAAGATACTTTGGACAGATTTTTGCTCAAGAATTGTACAAGAATATTGGGCAAGACCACAGAACAGACTTGAGCCAGACTGTGGCCAGAATTTGACAAGAATTTGACCAGAAATCTGAGGCCATCTATTGCTAAACTTTGGGACTATCCTATAGAGTAGAGGTTCTCATTCTACAGTAGTATCATTCACAATAATGTATACTAGTCGAGAAGTGAGTTCTCTGTACACTGAGAAAAAAGTTTATTGCTCCCAAATAAAAAAAAAATTATATATGGGACAAGGGTACAGTTAATTTATCCTAAATATATTTTTATTCCCGACACATAAAGTTTTACTAAAGTATATTTATCGTTATTATTTCGACTATTTAGAGGTAATAAACAATATATTTACTATTAATAAAAGTATTAGCTACACAGTTTATTTGTCCCATTTTTTTCTCAGTGTAGGAAATGAGTATAGTTTTTTTGTTTATGTGAAAATACGAATAAGAGCTTATTGGATTCGTCTTCTAGCTGAGAAAAAAATTGATTTTTTGAAAAATAAAAATTGTTATTTCTAAAAATCAAAAATTAAAAAAAAGTGTGTCAGCTCTGACACATAACTATAGTAAACTCTATAGAGTTTACTCTTTATGATCATGAAAGATTATAAAATACATGTTTATTTTTACGGGCACCTGGTTTTTTTTTTAACATAGAAAATTAAAAACTTTAACTCTTTCAAAATTTGTTTCGTTTTTAATTCTATTGTTTACCAAATTTTTGGATAAAAACCGAATTTACTGGAAAGAAATTCGTGGAAAATTAATGTTTTTAGTAACATTCTAACTTAACTTTTGAAGTTCAACAAAATTTTGTATTGACCAAAAATCTTGAATTGAAAGTTCCTATTTAACGTGTAATCGTGTAAAAATTCTTGGCCAAGAATCTGGTCAAATTCTGGTCACAGACTTGTCCAAGTCTGCCACCAGTCTGGATAAAGAATTTTGATCAAGAGTCTTAGTCAAGAATTGTCCAATTCTTTACAAAGTGCTTCTCCAAGTATCTTGACAAAGAATCTTGTCCAATTCCATTGCTACTAGGGTCATCAAAACTAACACTTTCATATTTATTTGAAAAAAGTTTTTGAAATTTTTGTTTTAATAAGTATCTATAGGTAATTTTTGTGTTAAAATTTTGACATCAGGCCATAAATAACAAAGATAAATAGGTTCATGTAAAAACAAAAAAAGGTTAATAAATAGGTAATTCATAAGGAGCATATTTATTTGAAATAAGTGTTAGTTCAGACTCCAGTAGACCTCTATTTTGCCCTGTTAAGCCAAACCCCCATATTTACAAAATTAGGTATTAAAGGACAAAAGATTATTTTCATTGTTAAAACAATAAAAACTATCTTTTGTCCTTTATTATTTAATATTGCAGATACAGGGTTAGCACGGCAGTATTCTGCCCTAGAAAACTGGAATGCAATATATAAAATGTAATAAAAAAGACAAAAATACATTTTATTGTAAGAAATAAAAAATACATTAATTTGATTATGATAGAGGATACAATTAAACCATATAACAGATATATATATATGCATATGATATATTTTTGTATTTTATTTGAAAATAATTGAAATTTTTTATTAGTGTTATTTTTGATCACTTAGGTATATCTTTTAAACGGTTGATCTAAAGAACTTTGACCTTCAGATGTTTTTTGTAGAGCGTGAAATTGTCTATAACTCCTCTCGCTTGGGTGTTGCAAAAACAAACCATTCCAAAGTTATAAGAATTCAAAATTTAAAAAATAAAAATTCCCGTGTTATTGAAATATTAAGGGCTCAAATAGGCGCCAACATTTTTGTTTTGTAATGTACTATTAATTTTTCAACATCATTGAAAAAAAAATAATTGTTTTTTTTTTGAAATACCCTAATATGGAAAATTAGCATGGAAAATTAGCATAAACTACATTTTTATAAAAATCAGTAGGTATTTAATTAATTTTTTTTTAACTTATGAGATATTTGACTGCATTTCTGTGTTGAATTCGGTTACAAAATGTCCATAGCTTGACCATAGCACAAGAAAATGCATTTTGCATTTTTTTGCAGTTACTGCCTTTCTCCATAGTAGGGCAGTATATATAAAACTTTTTTACATAATCTTGATCTATCTCTTGCTAATTAACTCTTATGTTAATAAAAACTATCATCTTAAACATCTGGTTTTTATTTGTTTAAATTATATCTTAATTTAGTAAAACACGTTCTCATAAGTCGTTAACGTTAGCCACTAGAATTAGTGGTTATCGTTATAATACAACAATCAAACGGCCATTGACCTAGGTCCTTCAGCCATAGTAAATTATACAAGAAGTAATAGCTATTACTAGTAAGTTCTTAAGTGATTGTATTAAAAACAAGCGTTAAATTCAAAGTTAAGTTTATGCAAAAAAACAATTTTCGGGTCCAGAACAAAATAGCACTTTCTGAATTAAAAAGAAAAATTACCACTCGAAAAAGGACGTTTTAAATATCAATAATAAAAATTGCGGCTTTTCAGTAGTTTTTGAGAAAATTAAGTTTGAAATTTTTTTTTTTTAACAGGTTTTTTTGACAAGAACTGTCAAGAACTGACAGAAGTGTTGCCATATGTAAATATTTACGGTAATTAGGGAAATTGGACTTGCAACCCAGATTACTTGAAAATTTTATTTTATTTATTTATTTATTAAATTGAAACTACAAATCAACTTGTAATAGCTGTTAACGTAGAGTAATCATTACAATAAAGAAAAAATAGATTTATAAATTGAATAACAGTATAATAATTATAAATTGTCCTTGATGTACTTTTTCAATGTTTTTATAAATTTTTCATATTTATCCAAGGATTTAATGGAGTTTGGTAGATCATTGAAGATTTTAACACCCTGTTGTATTGTTGATCCAGAAGCCTTTTTGGTCCTAACTCTGACTGTTCTGAGGTTTTGTGCTCCTCTAGTTTCATAGTTGTGAAAATCCGAGTTTATGTTCAAGCTTGCACTTGTTTTAATGTCTTTGTTTTTTTATCTTATATACTAATTTGCACAATTCGAAACTAATTAGCTGTTTAATATTCATTACCGGAATTATTTTATAAAGGTCTTTAGTTGGTGTATCATACGGTAGATTAAAAATTGCTTTTAGCGCTTTATTTTGCAGTCTTTGCATTCGGTTTAGATTTCGTTGGGATGTATTTGACCATATTGCTATGAGATAACTTAAGACTGATTTAATATATGAGTTATATATAAGGAATCTGCAACTCTCCGTCAAATATTCATTTACACGTCTAAAATTAAAATTACAAACGCAAACTTTTTATAGCGTTATCTATTAGATATTCAGGCCAACAAAAGTGGTTAACCATTAACGTTAGCCACTAGAATCAGTGGTTATCTGCCAAAACGGCCAATCAGGTCGATTAAATATTATTGCGTTTGTAATTTTAATTTTCATGTAATCTGGGTTGCATGTCCAATTTCCCTAATTACCGTAAATATTTACATATGGCAACACTTCCGTCAGTTCTTGACAGTTCTTGTCAAAAAACCTGTCAAAAAAAGAATTTTCAAACTTAATTTTCTCAAAATCGACTGAAAAAGTCGCAATTTTTATTATTGATATTTACTATTTAAAACGTCTTTTTTCGAGTGGTAATTTTTCTTTTTAATTCAGAAAGTGCTATTTTGTTCTGGACCCGAAAATTGTTTTTTGCATAAACTTAACTTTGAATTTAACGTTTGTTTTTAATACAATCACTCAAGAACTTACTAGTAATAGCTATTACTTCTTGTATAATTTACTATGGCTGAAGGACCTAGGTCAATGGCCTTTTGATTATTGTATTGTTATTTTATTATAATCAATAAATACCTATTATTATATTATTGTTATTATGCTTCTAAATAATAATAATAAAAAAAAAATACATTTATTAACCCAAAAAACACAATGCGGTTTACAGAGGGAACTCTAATTAAATATACATCAGTTTACATATAAATACAATAAAAATATTGTCACCTATTAATTATTAAAACACAAATACATTCTGTACATATACACAATACATAAATGTATCCAATGACTCCAGAACCACCTATTTTTTAAACAATATTTAATGTTTACAGAGACTATCTGAGCCAAAACTAAGATCACTATTTGGTGAACTCCAACTGCACGACAAGGAAGAAATAACGTGGAAGCATCTAAGAGCCGAAGGCAAAGACAAAGACGGCCTCAAAGAAGCCGAATTACGCAAAAAATTATTGGCCATCATGGCCAACTATGAGCTATCAGATCAGACTGAAGATGTACACAATCCTGAAAAAGTCAAGCCTTACAGACCACTAAATGAAGCTGGAGATAAACATATAAACAAAAGTTTATTTAAGGATAAAAAATTAAATAAGTTGTGGCTAAAGGCTGAAATTGCAGGATTTACTGCTGAAGAATTGCAGGCTTTGAAGGAAGAGTTTGATCATCATCAAGATAAGATTGATCAGTATTACTCGCTTTTGGATGATGTGAGGGGAAATGAAGTTAACCATGATGAAAGTAAGATTTATAATTTGTTTAATTATATTTAAACCAGGAAATAAGAAGTCTTTTTCAATTTGTTTCTTTTATTTTATATCTGGTATTTTAATGCGTAAAATTTTTTTCTTCTAATTAACATGTTGAAAACAGAAAAACAATTAAACGTCGGGTTTTCAAAATATTCACAAAAATAATTTTTTTAAAAATTTAATGTGACTAAAAACTAATAAATAGTCTTTAAAATTTAGATAATTGTTTAATAAAAAAATATGTGTAATTATAATGTATACATTTAAATAATGAGTAAATAGGTTTAAATAAAAAAATATTAAAATCTAGGGATCCGGAAACAGCCGAACCTATATCCGATTATAGACTGCGGACTGGGTCTTATTTTCAGTCACTTTATTTATATTATTTGGTTATAAGAAAAAATTAGCTTCTATCATTGCTATCAATGCTTCTATCAAAGTCACCTGGTGGGACTTTTATGTACCTATAGAGAAATTTTCTCTGTTTTGATGTGTGAAGCATAGTATGCACCTATTCTTTTTATGTAAAATATGATAACCCAATTTGTCCACAAACAAACTTTTAATAAAACTTTAAATGTGATTTAATTTTTTGGTGTTTAACATTTTATTTATTTTTAGACTCTGTGGACGATGAACTGGACAAATTCAACCAAATAGATCAAAAAGAGGAAGAGCCACCCAAGAAAGATTACATTGATAAAGTAAACTTGCTTAGGGAAAATAACAAACAAATTAAAGATGGATATGACCATTTACATGTATTAGCAGCTAAAGGCCCTGCCAGCAGAGAATTCGTTGAACCTAAAGTAAATGGTTTATGGAAAATTGCTGTGGAAAGCAATTTTTCACATAGTGAACTAGAATCACTTAGGGTAAGCTACTACTAACATTTACTAGTCATTTAAAGAAATAGTTTATCTAAAAATTAAAATACTTTCATCCTTATAAGCTTAAGAAAAAAGATTGAGAAGCTATGACTACAAAGTTTTAAATCACAGGTTGAAGTTAACAACAGTGGCTTTCAGGCTTTTTAGTCATGGGCTTTATTATAAATTGATAAATAGTGAGGTTAAATTTGTCTGACAATGTCGGACAGTTGTCAGATGTTAAATGTTTAACAAATAAAATTGACTTTAAATTCTCCTTTGGGTTTGTTGTAGATAAAGTATAGTATGCAACTCGATTATAAACTTGTCCAGACAATCGTTTTTATTAAACACTTGCTTGCAAGCTCGTTAATGCCTAATTAAAACTTGTTACTGGAATTCCGTTTATAAAACTTGATACATAATTATTATATTAATAGGTATACTATTATAAAATCTTTTTTTTTTAAATTGAATTAGTACCAAATTCAAATTTGTTTTTTCATGCACACATTTTCTGAAAATGATTTTCATGACACATTTTTGCAAACAAGTGCCTTTTAAAGTACCTATATTATACAATAGGTTTTATTTATTCTTGTCACGGGTTTTAATTAGGCACGAGTGAAGCTTGCGGAGCGAGTGTTTAATACACTAGTTCCTTTAGAATTTTATAAAACGAATTGCATACTATACTATTTCTACGACGAACACAAAAATAAATGTATGTCACAGCTTGTCAATGTTTGTTATAGATAATGAATTATGATGTGTATTTAAAAGATCACTTAGAGTCATGGAAACATAAAGCTTATTGAGGTAGAATGAATATATTTAGTTTTTTTGATTTTTACTTATGCCAATAAAACGAAATATGTTTTACCTGACAAAATATTTATTTTAAGATTGAACTCAAGCATTATGAAAACCGCCTTCTAAAACTTAGGCATATCCAGGCTGAACACGCCCTAACCGAAGCAAAACATAAAGGAAAAATTCCCGCTGGCGACAAACAGTATGCTCATTCTGTTGTAGCTGAGACTATAAAAAAACAAGCCAGGAAAGTGGAGAAAATTCATCTAGAGCTAGAAACTAGAATTATGCAAAAACATATTGAGCTATAAAACATAAGTATGCTAGTATCTAGACATAACTTGTATCTGATGCCAAAAATAACTTAATACTTAGTTGGTTACATGTTTCTGAATCATTATTAATGTTGTTACCAGATGGCAAAATGAATTCACTATGAATTCACTACGAATTCACGCGTGAAAATTAAATTCACGCGTGAATTCATATAACGCGACAGATGAGTCCTCAATTGATGCTCAATTTGCCATCACGCGTGAACTTTTTATTTTTTGCGCATGCGCTTTTAGAATATGGATTTCATTTTTCAAAATAATTTAATCTGTCGAAATATTTATTTTAACATCTTAAAAAAATACACAAAAACTTGGTTTAAAAGGCCATAATTGAGAAGCAATCAGACTAAACCAGATAAATCCATTTCGACTTTTTGAATGGTTTCTATTTCTTTTGTTCAGATAAATACATTGGAAATATCTATTTCAAGCTAAACTTGTTATCATAATATGATATGATCATAATATTAATATTATATAATAATTATTATATTATATACTAATATTAATATTAGTATAGTTAAGTAAGTTTATCTTGAAATTCACTTTTCCAATTGATTTATCCGACTAAAAGAAATATGAATCATTCAAGAAGTCAAAATGGATTTATCTGGTTTTGGTTGATTGCTCCTCAATTATAGGTTATACATTACAATTATAACCTTAAGGTTAATTAATTAATTAATTAATATATAATATACATATATTAATTATTAATGTACCTATAACATATAATTGTGACCTTTTAAAATTACTTTAATATATATAATTATAATAATATATTATATAATATATAATTATATAATATAACTATAGTATACTTATAACTTAATATAATATATTAAGTTATAAGTAGTTATATTATATAATTATATATTATAATATATTATTATAATATTATATAATTGCGCAATGGAGCTGTGCGAATTTTAAAAATGTAACTAAAATAATAATTCCAAAATTCGCGCGTCAGGTAATATTTTGATATTAGAATTAATATTCTATTTATATTTAAACGTGCAGTTTTTAATCATGCAATCCATGTATTTTAAAATAAAATCGATTAAATCACACGAGACTATAATATGAATTCATAATCTACTCACGTGTGAATTACGAGTTCAAGACTTCACGTGTGAAATCATATAGCACACATTATTCACTCACGCGTGATTTCGTATTCACGTTTGCTATCTGGGTACATACTCTTGTGATTTTTTATATGAAAAAGTATTAAAACATAAAAGCATTTATGTGTGTGATCAAATGGTATGTAATCTCCCAGATAGCAAACGTGAATACGAAATCACGCGTGAGTGAATAATGTGTGCTATATGATTTCACACGTGAAGTCTTGAACTCTTAATTCACACGTGAGTAGATTATGAATTCATATTATAGTCTCGTGTGATTTAATCGATTTTATTTTAAAATACATGGATTGCATGATTAAAAACTGCACGTTTAAATATAAATAGAATATTAATATTCTAATATCAAAAATATTATATTAATATATTTTCATTTAATATTGTATGTCATTATAATAAATTATAATTATCTCTGGTAACACCCTCCCTTTCCCCATGTCATAAGACATTTTCAGTCACAATCTTTATTTTAAATGTTTTAAAATACACAAATTAATTATTATATGTATTAATTATATAATATATTAAGTTATAAGTAGTTATATTATATATTATAATATATATCAGTGGCGGATTGGGGATTTTGGGTATACCAATATCTCAGTTATTAGACATGGGACCCACACCAAATTTATAATAGTTTATTATGACATTAAATAGACAAGTTCGGCGCAAACAGAATTTAAATTGAAGTTTGCGAAAAAAAGTTAGTTTTTTGTGTCGCCTCACCTGGCTTCTGGCCCCCCCATTTGAGATAATTCAAATTAAAGTTGTGCAATTTATACTTCACTATAATTTATCGGTAAATTTAAAATTTTATTTGAAAAATCCAAATATTAGAGATTTTATACCATATTAAATATTTTTTTATTATAATAAAATAAATAATAAAAATTTAAAATCGTATAAAATCTGTAATATTTATATTTTTTAAATAAAATTTTAAATTTGTCGATAAATTATAGTGGAGTATAAATTGCACCACTTTAATTTGAATTATCCCAAATGGGGGGGGCCAGAAGCCAGGTAAGGCGACACAAAAAACTAACTTTTTTTTCGCAAACTTTAATTTAAATTCTGTTTGCGCAGAACTTGTCTATTTAATGTCATTATAAACTATTATAAATTTGGAGTGGGTCCCACGTCTAATAAGTGAGATATTGGTATACCCAAAATCCCCAATCCGCCACTGGTATATATTATTATAATTATATATATTATAGTAATATATATAATTACATAATATATATTGGTTTAAAAGGTCACAATTATATGTTATAGGTACATTAATAATTAATATATGTATATTATATATTAATTAATTAATTAGTTAACCTTAAGGTTATAATTGTAATGTATAACCTATAAATGAGGAGCAATCAACCAAAACCAGATAAATCCATTTTGACTTCTTGAATGATTCATATTTCTTTTAGTCGGATAAATCAATTGGAAAAGTAAATTTCAAGATAAACTTATTATAATAATATATATATTATATACTAATATTAATATTAGTATATAATATATCCCAAGCAACAATTTAAGTATTTGTTACGTATATGGGACTATTGAAGAAACTTTAAAGTGTTTTGCGACAGTCGCCGGTCTCTTTATATTACTCTTTCGTTACTAAGTTATGACTAAAGTGGGGAACAATTATTGGGTTCCAAAAAGGTAACAAATATGTCACTAGCTATAAACCCTGCTACTATTTGGAACGTAGCTGCTACGTTACTAGAACGTTCCAATATCGTTGCCAGAGCGTTATAATTACTTTTATTTATTTGTTTTTACTTCTATATTAACTGTCTTTGTCAAACTTATATTATATTATACTATCCCTCCTTTTTTAAATGGAACCACTACGGACATGGCTTTTCAATGTCGTCGTTTATTAAATATGTACTGGTAGTTTATAACTTCCTGAATAACAATATAATGTTTAATTAGGCAGGTAAATTTATAAACCCTTTAAATTTTACTGTTGAACTTATGAATTTAGTTTTTGTAAAATAAATGCGCTTTATCAATATTTAAGTATACAGAAATTATTTATTTAATAATGTTTAAAAATAAAAAAATCTTAATATTTATTATTAATTTTTTTATTTAATTATTAATACCAACAAAACTATTATTTATTAAAAAGTAAACAACCATTTACAAACAATTAAAATAATTTATTATTTACATTACCACGTGGTACTGTACAGTAAAAAATGGCCGATAAGAAGCATTTTCCTTTGAAGTAGTTTTCGCTACTTTAAAGTTTTTTTCACTTTACGGTTGTTTTGGTTAGTACCATAAACGTTCCAAATACTAAAATAATAACTTTTAAGTTATTAACTTTGTAGTTTTTAACTCATGTTCCAGTTTCGAGATTTTAACTTGCAAAGGGACTACAAAGTAAAAATAATTATAATGTAATCTTTAGGTAGCAACCGAAAGTAAGTGCTACAAATTAAATTTACTTGAAAGTTTTTTTTACTTATAACACCTTTTTTAAAGTTGCAAAGTCTTCTTGGGGGCAACCAAGTTTTACTTAAATGTTTATTACTTTATAGTAACCATTTAAGGAAAAATTAAGTTTCTGTTACAAAATATTGCTATTTAAAAGTTACAATTACTTTTAAGTAAAAATTAAAGTAGCTGTTTAGTATACTTAACTAATTTAAAGTTATCACCACTTTGGCAATGGTTTTTGGAACCAAAAATAATAATTATATATATAATATTAATATTAATATATATATTAATTATTATATAATATTAATATTAATATATATTATGATCATATCATATTATGATAACAAGTTTAGCTTGAAATAGATATTTCCAATGGATTTATCTGAACAAAAGAAATAGGAACCATTCAAAAAGTCGAAATGGATTTATCTGGTTTAGTCTGATTGCTTCTCAATTATGGCCTTTTAAACCAAGTTTTTGTGTATTTTTTTAAGGTGTTAAAATAAATATTTCGACAGATTAAATTATTTTGAAAAATGAAATCCATATTCTAAAAGCGCATGCGCAAAAAATAAAAAGTTCACGCGTGATGGCAAATTGAGCATCAATTGAGGACTCATCTGTCGCGTTATATGAATTCACGCGTGAATTTAATTTTCACGCGTGAATTCGTAGTGAATTCATTTTGCTATCTGGGCTCTTTTTTAACTTTTCTATTTTAAAGTTTAGGCAACTACCTTCTAAATAATTTTGTAATTGTATAGTTTTATATTAAATCTTAAATACTAATAAAAAATATAATTGGTGTTTTTAAGCATTTTATTTGTCAATCTGTGCACACAATTACTGTGTGTTCAATTTTTTTAATATTGTTTTTATTGTAACAATTTTCTATGATTTTAATAATGACAGGATTTTACTTTATCCAATTTTTTGTAAATATTTGTGGTAATTTATTAAATATTTTTATTATGTAGGTTACATTCCTTTGTAGGTAAGTAAAATTAGGTTTTGTGGGTATGTAGTTATTTTTATCACGGGTTTCAAGTTCATGAATGTGATCGACTTTAACAATTAAAGATTTGTTGTTCCAGGCGAAGATTATAGCTTCTAGAATAGACATACCAAACAGGATGTATGTGTGTTTTGTTTTGGATATGTTTATTATTCTCGTTGTTAGGCAGGGAATTTATAATGTTTATTATTATTCACGGGCTGAAGTTAGCTTTTATCTTAATAATTATTAAATTTTTAATAAAAGAACCTTTTTACTACTTACTTAAAAAAAATACCCTTAAAAAATTAAACACTCAAAAGAACTTTAAACAATTTATTACCTATAATTAATATTTAAATTAAATTACTAAATTGACTATAAACTAAAATCCTGAGAGCGATACCTAAGCGACGACATATCCAATCTAGGCGGCAAATTGGTCGAACAATAATTAAAAGTTGGCGACGACAAAAAAGTATTGGGTTGTCCACCAATGCCATTACCAAAACTATTGGCATACAAATCGTGGTGATTATACTGCGTATAGGAGCACTTCCAAGGCATCATGTACTGCATATCAGCGGTACTATGTGGTGGTAATGTTGTTTGGTACGAAAATAAAGGTTTTTCTATACAATCTGACTTTAGGTTCATCGGATTTGTAGGACTTTTACATTGAATTTTTGGTGGGATTTGTTGGAGAGTGACGCTGCGTTCGTTTCTTCGGAATTTTGCGCGCCTGTTTTGGAACCAAACCTAAAAATAAAAAATAAATCATATGCACGAAGAATAGTTCAGATTTGTTGTATATTTTGGACCACGGTCTTACACACAGATCTCGCAACTCTGGGTTATGACGTGAGTAATGTCTCAAACAATAATCACTTCACGACTTAAATCGTCCGACAGAACTCGCAAATAAATTTTTTTTAAATGTAAACAAAACCAACGTACTATGCTCCACACCTCAAATTCCCACCACGTGACCACGTACGGAACGCAGTCTTTTGAAAATTTGGCATTTCAGGTTATGTATCTGTCAAAGTATAGTCAATGAAAAAAATAATATTTATAGTGTTACCGCTTATGTTTAAGCGTTAAAAGTTAATAAATCTTTATAGTATCACAATAACAATGGTTGGTTTAAGAATTTAGGAATATAAATACTGCATTTAATGAAATTCCAAAGTGTAAGGTGCAATATAAGTGATATTTTTGTGCATTGGGTCTACATTTCTCCATAAAATAGTTTTAACTAAACAGCATTTATTAAAAAAAAATCTAACTTCTCTATTATGAAATAAGAATATCTGTATCAAAGGTAGGTTAATGTATAAGAACAAAAAAATATCATATAATTTTGTATTTTAAGGTTAGAAAAATCTATTTTGACCAAAATAAATAAGTGGATTATTTGAAGGAGGGTGTTAATAATACTAAATAATTGTTGAATATAGTTCAAATTAAATTGGTTTTAAACTTCTAACGACAAAACTTGTGCATAGGTACCTCTGGGCATACTTACTTTAAGTTAGATTATAAGAAAACAAACAATTTTTAGAGAAACTTGCAGTGTGAAAATATTTAATACTCCCATGACATGTGATTTATTAAAATTTTTTAAGTTATAATGATTTTTTGATGTAGATCAAATTCAGTCGAAGCTTTTTAACTATTTGTATTGACAAAACTTTACATAGGTATACACTTTAAGCTGGATAAGAAAAACTACCACATTTTTAAATACCATATGGTATTATAATATATATTATACAGTCTTTTAAATAATCCAAAATACTTATTTATTTTGGTCAAAATAAATTTTTCTAACCTTAAAATTACAAAATTAGATGATATTTTTGTTATAATATATTAACCTACCTTTAATACAGATAGTCTTATTCCATAATAGAGAAGCTAGATTTTTTTAAATAAATGCTGTTTAATTATTTTATGGAAAAAACCAGATATTTGGACCAAATGCACAAAAATATTACTTATTTGGCACCATACATTTTAGAATTTCATTAAATGCAGTATTTTTATTCTTAAATTCTTAAACCATCCATTGTTATTCTATCCCTGCTGAAAATCCCGCATAAAAACTTATAAAAAAAAACTTATAAAAACTTATAAAAGTTTATGAGATTTTATAGGGCCTATGAAACAGCAATTTCTGATACAAACTTTTCAAATTCTATAGGTTTTTAAGAGAAACTACTTTTCAACTCTGGTCAATACTAATTAAACTTTATGAGTATTTACGCATCAAGGTATATAATATTTTATGAGTATTTATGAGTTTTTAAGAGAAATTACTTTTCAACTCTGGTCAAAACTTATTAAACTATCAGTATTTACGCATCAAGTTATATAATATTTTATGAGTATTTATGAGTTTTTAAGAGACATTACTTTTTAACTCTAGTCAGTAGAATAGTAGTTATAATATTAAATATAATATACATATTTTATGAGTATGTATACGTTTTTAAGAGACACTACCCAGCTGACAGTATGACGTTCTTTTAACGTATTTATTTCGTCACCCATTACGTCGTTTTGACCTGTTGGATGACGTCGAATCGATCAAAATATTACGTGAAGTAGTAAATTGTGGGGGTTCGCGGCTTTGGCCTTGCAAAGCAGGCACTGTTTAAGCAGAGGACCACGGAAATTCCATGACGATCTAGACGGAACAATCCTGGCTCCAACAAAGAATTTCAGTGAAAAAGCTAAATTGTCGTAGGCCACAATTCGTGACTCGTTTATTTGCCGAGGTTCGTATTCCTAAATCTTAAATTGCAATGCAGCCAGTGTCAACTTATATACTTAACGAATAGTGCCACATAAGCGAGATGTATTATGCAATAATGGTTGCCCATGATAAGTAGATTTCTACTATATTATAGTAGATGCCTACTTATCATAGGCAACCTTACTCTGGTCAATACTAATTAAACTTTATGAGTATTTACGCATCAAGGTATATAATATTTTATGAGTATTTATGAGTTTTTAAGAGAAATTACTTTTCAACTCTGGTCGAAACTTATTAAACTATCAGTATTTACGCATCAAGTTATATAATATTTTATGAGTATTTATGAGTTTTTAAGAGACATTACTTTTTAACTCTAGTCAGTAGAATAGTAGTTATAATATTAAATATAATATACATATTTTATGAGTATGTATACGTTTTTAAGAGACACTATATATGGTGTCTTACTTTTAAGCTCTAGTGAAAACTTATTAAACTTTATCAGTAGGTATTTACCGATCATGTTATATAATATTTTATGAGAATTAAAAAAGTTTTAATAAGACACTATATAATCATAAAACTTTATAATCACTTATCCGATAAATACTCGTACACAGCTGTTACGTGTAAGAGTGTTACACTGTAACTCCAATAGAATATTGATAACATAATGCGTAAATACGCATTATACGCGTATACGCATCATGTTATCAATATTTTATAGGTGTTACATGTAACAGCTGGGTATTATTATTTATTGGATAAGTGAATGAAGGGTATATATTATGTTTTATAAAAGTTGGATGTAAAAAACCAATAAAAACCGATAAAATTAATTTCTTATAAATACTTGTGGCTTCTTATAGACATATAATAGGTAAGGCCTTATACAAACCAATAAACTTACATCCCTTATATAGTCTCATAAACACTCATAAACAATGATCAAATCGGGACCATACTGAAACTGATAAAAGCCATGTGCACATAAAATCTTATAAGTACTGTACCACATAAAGTCTTATAAAAACTTATATAGATGTAAAAAAACAATAAAATCCGATAAAATTATTTTCTTATAATTACTTATACCTTTTTATAGACATATAATAGGTAAGGCCTTATACAAACCAATAAACTTACATCCCTCATAGAGTCTCATAAACACTCATAAACAATGATCAAATAGGGACCATACTGAAACTGATAAAAGCCATGTGCACATAAAGTCTTATAAGTACTCTTTAACATTTTAGCTGGAATTCCTTATAGACATTTGCACCTACCATATAAAGTCTTATAAAAACTTATAAAAGTTAGATATAAAAAAACAATAAAATCCGATAAAATTCATTTCTCATATATGCTTATAGCTTCTTATAGACATTTAATAGTTAAGGCCTTATACAAACCAATAAACTTACATCCCTCATAGAGTCACATAAAATCTCATAAAAAATTATCAAATAGGAACCACATTAAAACTGATAAAAGTCTTGTGCACATAAAATCTTATAAATTCACTTCAAAATTTTAGTTGGAATTTCTTATAGAAATTTGTACCTCGTAAAGTCTTATAAAAACTAATAAAAGTTTTATAAGTCACGGCTCATAAAACTATTTCTTATAAAAACTGATAGAATTCTGATAAAACCCTTATGAGCAATTAGACAAAACCTTATAGAAACTAAGAAACCGCATACATCCTTATTAAATATTATAGAACTTTTATAAGTTTTTATGCGGGTTTTTCAACAGGGATGTTATAAAAATTTATACTTTTTAACGCCTAAATATTATTTCTTTCGTTGAGTATACTTTGACAGATACATAACCTGAAAAGCCTTAAATGCCACGTGGTTACCTGGTGGGACTTTGAGGTGTGGAGCATAGTACATAGCGATAGCATTCAAGAAATGTAGGCTGTTAATGTACCCCTTGTTCGCAGCGCCATCTGGATTTTGCTTAAAGAGTTGAGTTTACTGCCTCCTATTGAAATCTGCAAACCTCTGTGTAAGGCTGGTTTTGGACCAATAAAATCCTATTTTGTCAAAGTAATAAACTAAAAATGTGTTATTTTACACTTACTTGTACTCTGGCTTCACTAAGGCTAACTTTTGTTGCCAAGTCTTCCCTTACAAATGCATCAGGGTAGTGAGTTTTTTCAAAAACTTTTTCTAAAGCTGCCAGCTGAGCGGTTGTAAATGTTGTCCTGTTTCGGCGAGGCTTTTTGTGTTTTTCATCGTTTGAAATATCTGAAAAAAATATTGATTTATCAATAAAAGATTTTGTGAAATGAGAAAATTGCCCCAATGACCAATGTGAACAATTTATTAAATTCTAATATTTTATACTTCTAATTTAAATAATTCATTTAAAAAATCAAAATTAAAGTAATCAGAGTTGCCTACCACTGATCATCGGATCCAGTGAGTGGTGACCATCCGATGGTCTAAGAAAAATGCCATGGCACATACACAATAATAAACAATCTTTAAAATTTAAATATTTTGTTTAATTTTAAGTCAATTATATTATATTATATCTATAAGAAACGTATTGTGGAATTCTTTTACCAATGAAACAAATAAAACTACTCCAAATTGTGGAATTTCCTTTAGGTGTTAAATTTCATGGTTTCAAACAAGTGTTCGATATTTTAGCCGGTACTTTTTGTTCTTGTTGTGGTGGCCGCACTTTGAAGTGGTATCGGATCAAAAGGGCTGTCGAGATTCGTGTTTTCATTTTGGTTTTTGCGTTCAGTGAGGCTCGGCGGTTTCCCGTTCATCAGTCTAATTGTGTGATGAATGGTGTTTAAAGTGTCGTTACTCAGAAATTAGACTACCAAAATAGAACTTTTAGTTTTTGGAATTTATATTTAGAATCGTTAACGTTTTACTAAAACCTTAAAAAAAGTCAATATATCATGATAAGTTTAAATTGAAAGTTTATTTAAAATAAATTTTTATTAAACAAATGGATAGTAAATTTTGATATTTGTTACCCAGAAACACACAACTTTAATAAACTAAGGGTTCTATAAAGGCTAAATTTGAGCATGTTACCATTACAATTTGGGTAGTGCAAGCTAAAGCTTCTGATATATATTTTAAAAATTCTAATAGTAGGTAAATTTACCTTCATTAAAAACTAGCAGTTTTTGGGATAAAGTCAATTCCAAATTTTATGAAAAATTGACCCTTTCTTAAAAACTGTTCTACTTTTAAACTTTTGACGACATTTTTGAATTCAACGGAAAATTTTATATAGCAATTGACTGGTAAATATTGGGAATACAAATTGCTGTCGACGAGAATTATTAGTGGCCATGTTTTTACCATTTTTATAATTTATTTATGCATACAGATATTAGTATTTTTTTACTCCCCTATTTAATTAGTCCATTTACCGTACATGTTTTCATGAAACTAGGTTACATTTTAAATGCACATTGACAAGTTGTGGCTTTATGGCGTTTTAGTCACCGGCTGAAGTTAGCAATAGGTTTTTAGTCACGGGCTGAAGTTAGTTGACAGTTGTCAAATATCATTCAATCGTTAAAATAAAGTGCCTTTCTTGTAAAATAATACTAAATGTAAAAATTATTTTTATCTATTTTGCGTTCATAACGACTTTATTATAACACCGCTTTCGGTGCCGTAATGAGATAGGTACTTTATCCCACCCAAAATTTTGATTTTATAGGTTGGCTATACTTTAAACAGCATAATATTTTGCATATTGGTTATAATATTTTTATGATTTTTCTAGTACTTACGAGACTTTTCTGGCAATAAATTTTGTTTAACACCAAAGAAAATCCTTTTTTTCTTCTTTAACATTAACAGCCGCTTATTGTAAATAAATAAATTAAGGACGGCATGGCGAATTTAATTAAATTTAAGGTAAACATTTTTTTTTATAGAATTTTTGCAAAATAGATAAAATAGCATAAAGAACTCATGCCATAAGACCTTTTGTCGCACTCGTCTAAATGACGTCTTATGACATTAGTTCTTTAATATACTATTCACGGTGCTGTTCTGAGAGGTGATTTTTGGACTTTCTGTGAAACCTAATTTTTTTTATATTGTTAATTAGGTCATAACTAAGAATTTAAGAGCAAAATAAAAAAAACTGACGGTTTGAATTGTTTTAATTGGCTGTTTATTAAAAATATTATGCACTCTTTCAATTATCCAATTAAAACTAGCGATTTAATTTAAATATTTAATATTTGCATAACTAAAAAAAAGGTTTTTACAATTTTTTTTATATATTTTACTGTTTTGTTGCAATAAACGTTTAAACTTTTAACCTTTGACGTATACATTTATGTTCCCTTAATTAATATATCCTTAAAGGTTGCCATGAAACTTAGATCTATTAAAAATTTATTTGACGTTTGAATTGTCATTTTCAGTATCCCTATTGTAAATGACCAATAGAAACCAATAAAAAATAAGTAATTGGTTTGAATTGGTTTGAAATGTGTTTTGGCGCTATGAATCACCAATTCATTCCAGTTGAATTCCTATTGGTAATTTCCAATGAAGTCAGCGGCTTGAATTGGAAAATACCAATAGAATCCAATAAAAAATAAGTAATTGGTTTGAATTGGTTTTAATTGGTTTGAAATGTGTTTTGGCGCTATGAATCACCAATTCATTCCAGTTGAATTCCTATTGGTAATTTCCAATGAGGTAAGCGGCTTGAATTGGAAAATACCATGGATTGCAATCCATGCCTACGCTTGTCTATTGGCTAAATCCAATAGAAATGCACATGGAATGAATTGGTAATTCATAGCACCAAACCCATTCCAAACAATTTAAACCAATTAATTTTTTAAAATTTGGATTAGAAAATACCTACCAGTTTATTTTTCATTCAAAAATAATTTTAGATCCCAGAAGGATAACCGGGTAAAAACCAGAATTCATTTTTTACAGAAGAGACAAAAAATTTATTGTTACTGAGTAATTTTATTTCTTTATTATTTTTTTTGTGAATATGTATGTATTAATACATATAACTTACTATCGCCTAAATCCCTAAATCTTACACATATAAACATTTTTTTAATATATAAGTACACTGCTAACACTAGGCACTTAACACTTAAATCGACTAATAATATAAACCGCTAATAAATGGCGCCCAAAGACTTGTTCTTTTTTCTTTATGATGGCGTCTCAACCTCGTTGATTTTGCGCAGCTACACGAGAGCCCTCTTGCGATATTTGTATTGTATTGGGAATAACCAATTAGCAGATTTTTCGAATCTTACACTTGAATTCAATTGGAAATTACCTATAGGTAGCTTTATCCAATCGAAACCAATAAAAACCATTAGAATCCTAACTGGTATTTTCCATCATGGAAAATACCAGTAAAAACCAATTTATGTTTTATATCGCGCCCAATTAAATCCATTGATACCAACCAATACTTCAATTGGTTTCTACAGGAATTAATCGGTCATTTACAACAGGGATACGTATTCTATAATTTTTGTTCTCTCAGAATCGCAAGTTTTAATTGGAGAATTGAAAGTGTGCATACATAGTTTTAATAAACATCCAATTAAAACAAAATTAACCGTCAAATTTTTTTTATTTTGCTCTTAAAATTTTAGTTATGACCTAATTAACAAGAATATAAAAAAATTAGGTTTCACAGAAAGTCCAAAAATCACCACTCAGAACAGCACCGTGTATTATTATCTCAATAAAAAAGGATTCAATGGTTTCTAAACGCCAATATTTAAAAAGTTTAAATGCACGTTGCATTCGCCGGCAGTAAACTAGATTTAACTAATTAACCATTAAATATTTCGAGTGGAGACTCCACCGTGGAGTGCCCATAAAACATTATCTTCACTTTCACTGTGAAAAACTGCTTCTATAGCGGTGCGCGGTTGTTAGTCCATTTTTAAGGTATACATTTCGATTTACACATAAAAATTTAGCATTTTGACCAACACGCCGGTAATACAGATTCCCAAGTTTCTAACTTGAAGTTAGAATGTCTATTGTTTTATAGATGTCGCTTTACACAAATATTTAATTTAAATCATTTTAAGATAATAATAAGTATTTGTCGTAGAAAAATTATAGTATCCAACTCGTTTATAAACTTCTAAACACCCATTTAATTAAACACTCGCTCGCAAGCTCGCTCGTGCCTAATTTAAATTCGTGACGAAAATGGCGTTTATTAAACTTGATACATAATTTGCTATGTATAAAATACAAAAATTATGAAATTTATTGAAATTAAAAGACAATAACAATACCTATTTGAATATCTTTGTTTTCAACAAACTGAACTAAGCAAATAAAAGATAAGATAAGTAGGTCAAGTAGTCAGTAAATTAAAATAAAATAGTTATTGCATGTGTCAAGTTGACGTGAGTGAGAGCTAATTTTCAAATTAATTTTACAATGCGTTATTTACACAAATTTTTAGATCTAAACAGAAAACTGAATATAAAAACATTACAAAAAATGTTCCCTTATCCAGAAGCAATAAGAGACGAAAATGTGGTGGACGATTATTTTGGCATTAAAGTCCCAGACCCATATCGATGGCTGGAAGATCCAGAAACCGAAGAGACCAAGAATTTTATTAACCAGCAAAATTCTGTTACTGACCCTTTTTTAAGGAGCTGTCCTTACAGGGATAATATTAAAAGAAAATTGATTGAGATATGGGATTATCCGAAATTTTCAACTCCTTTGAAAAGAGGTTTTACTTACATCACATTATGCCTTCTTTATAAAGAGGATGGAGTTAAAATTTGAAGTTTATTTGATTGCCTTTTTTTATTCAGCAAATACTAATCTTTATAAAAAGGCAATTTTGGGTTGTGTATTTATACACAAATTTCACAAAGTTCCTATTATTGAAATCAGATCTTTGAGGTTTTTGATGAACTAAATTCGAGTTCGACCTAACAATTGTTCCCTCATATCAGGTTTTTAAGAAATTCTAACCAAAAAGTAGAAAAAATCGCGTTTTGTTACATTACGAAATATTTTTTTTCCAAAAATGATGCCATAATTTCAACTAATTTGCGATGAGGAGAAATGCCATTAAATTTTGTTTAGTTTTGTTACCTTGTGATATTTAAAAAATTGCTTTACTAGAAAAACTGAAGCAATTTGGATTTAGCACATCTAAAACCTACTTTGGCTTTTGTTAAAAAAATTTGTAGAATATAATATAATTATTTTCAGGGAAAAAATATTTTCAATTCAGGAACTCCGGTTTAGAAAATCAAAGTTCTCTCCACATATTCGACGATCTCAGAGCTGATGGTACAGTTTTACTGGACCCAAATCAAATGGCAGAAGATGGTACTGTTACAATTTCGGAAATTGCAATTTCGGAAAACCACCAAATTTGCGCGTACAGCCTCAACGCTAAAGGTTCCGATTGGGCTGAAATCAAGTTTAAGGATGTTTTATCCGGCAAAAACTATGATGAAGTTCTAACGAATGTCAAATTTTCATCTATGACTTGGATGCATGATAACGTTGGGTTCTTTTATGGAGCTTACTTGGGAGAATCATGTATTTGAAAAAAAAGCTGTGGGTTAATTTTTTTCGTCTTCTTTTCTATTTTAGTTACTACAGAAGGTTCAGAAACAGAACAAATAGCGCATCAGAAATTGTACTACCACAGATTAGGTACTGATCAATCAGAGGATATTGTTGCAGTAGAATTTCCCGAAAATCCTGACTACATTATCGGTGCTAGAGTATCGCATTGTGGTAAATATTTGGTAGTAATGCCCTCCAAAGGTTGCAAAACAAATTTGCTTTACTATGCTGAACTTCCAACAACTGTAACAGGTAAAAAATACTTAAAATAAGAAATATAACATTTTGGAGTTCTATTTCTTCCCTTATAAAAAATTATCTAAAACACCTAATTATTTTTAAAGATAAATTAAAGTTAAGACCACTGGTAACCGATTTTGTGGCCGACTTTAGTTACGTAACAAACAATGGAACTCAATTTATTGTACTTACTGATAAAAACGCTTCTAATGGAAAAATGGTGATCATAGACATTCAAAAACCTGACGAAGACAACTGGAGAATTTTGGTGCCAGAACATGATCAAAACGTTTTGGTTTGGGTCAAACCTATAGATAAAGATAAAATGATGCTTTGCTACATGAAGGATGTAAAACATGTCTTACAATTGAACGGTTTGAATACTGGGGAGAAAATTTTGGACATACAAGTAATAATCAGCATTCACATCGTCTTCCAGTTTTTACTATTTCCAATTTCAAATTCAAAGATGATAAAATGATAGATGTTCCTTATAAAACATATTTGACATTTTTCAGATGGACATGGGTACCATAGAAAACGCCACTGGCAGAAGAGAAGACAACCAAATATTTTACAGTTTTACTTCATTTCTAACTCCAAAACTAATCCACAAAGTAACGCTCGAAACTAACGAAGTCATAAAAAACGAGGTCATACAAGAAATCAAGATAAACAACGAATCTCTAATGGAAGATTTTGAAACAAAACAAGTTTTCTATAAAAGTAAAGATGCAACCAACATACCAATGTTTATTATACACGCTAAAGATTTGGAGTTAAATGGTAGAAGTCCTTGTCTTTTATATGGTTATGGAGGATTTAATATTAACTTAACGCCAAGCTTTTCTTTGGCAAGGTTGCTTTTTATCAAAAACTTTAAAGGTGTTGTGGCCATTGCCAATATTAGAGGTGGAGGTGAATATGGGGATAAATGGCATTCAGCTGGGAGGTAATTAAACCCAATTTTAACTGCGTTAAAAAAGATCTTATCCAAAAATACAAATAAATAGTTTGTTTTTAAATTTAATTTTCTTATTATTTTGAACAAACAATCTTTCCATTGCACATATTTTTGAAATGTATATTTAAACCTTAAATTTAAGGACTGACCACAAGCAAAATTGCTTTGACGATTTTCAGTACGCAGCTAGATACTTGATAGGCTCTAAATATACTTGTCCTGAAAAATTGGCTATTCAAGGGGGGTCAAATGGTGGGCTCTTGGTGGCCGCTTGTATAAATCAAGCCCCTGAGTTGTATGGGGCTGCTTTGGCCCATGTGGGGGTTATGGATATGTTGCGGTTCCACAAATTTACCATTGGTACGTGATATTTTTTGTTTTTTATATTGAATATTTTTTTATGATTTTACACTATTTAGGTTACGCATGGAAGACTGACTATGGTTCCTCAGAGGACCCCAACATGTTCCATTACCTTTACAAATATTCCCCTTTGCATAACGTTAAAGTTCCAGAAAATGGCGTGCAATACCCGGCAACCATGTTGCTCACGGCCGACCACGATGACAGAGTCGTACCTCTGCACTCCTATAAGTACATTGCAGAGTTGCAAAACAAAATTGGCAGCCTACCGTACCAGAAAAAGCCCCTTTTGATCAAAGTCGAAACGAAAGCTGGCCACGGAGCCGGCAAACCGACCACCAAGAAAATCGACGAGTTAACCGATGTGTTTTGTTTTCTCTCCAATGTTTTAAAAATTAAATTTTATGAATAAACTTCAGAAATAAAATACAGAAGACTTTTCATTATGTATGTCTGGTTACTGGCATGTATTATTTCTACTTGAGTTAAAGTATTTGAAGTTAAATCTAGTGTGTAAATTTGACACGCCTTGATTGGTGAACAAACACAACGAGCAGTTTTAGTACAAAAAAATGTGCGTCTTTTTATTGCTGGGTTTTAAGTTTTTAAGTATTACTACCAAAATTATGTTTTAGTTCCACAAATCTTTTTTTTTGCTTTATAGTACCAATGTTTTATTTCGACGATTAAGATATTTGACAATAATTAATTATTTTTAAAATATAAAATTTAATATACCTAATAATTCATATTAAAACTTCAATTTTGTAATTTAAGGTAGTAGGTATGTCCATTTTAAGATAAAATTTAGAGGTGGCAATGTACCTACCTAGTAAAAATATATGTAACTTAAAAAAATAATTTTCTTGGAATCAGTGATGTAAAAAAAAAATTTGAAATTATTTGTGAATGTATTTGATGCCTCATAAATTTTGAAAACATTCTAAAATTTCAAATGAAGATAGTTACTACCTTAATTAAGGTTATGCATATAAAATAATAGTTACGTTTTCTATTGTATAAGTACTTGATACCTGAAAAAAATAACTTTCTAGATTTAGTAGAATAGGCGCAGGAGCCAGACAAAAATCACAAAAATTTGCAAATTATCATGAATCTTTAGTTGTTTAAGTACCATTCTTTTATGAGATTAACTAATTGGATAATAATAATTTATATCGAAAACACACTTACTGAACAGTAAAACAAAATTAAAATCATTTCAATATTTGTCACAGAAAAAAGTTCTGGCACACTATAAGAGAGTAAGAAATTGACACGATTTCAGATTTCTAAAGGGTGCCGATTAAAAGTAAAGAATCCAAAAATTAAAACGGCAACGGATTTTCATATTTGATACCTAAAAGATCATCTTCATTTTTTTTATCAAAATAAAAAATCAAGCAACGCACCCCATTTGGTGTTTTTATTTGGAATGACTCTATGGAAAACGTCATCCCGGTACAAATCGTTACGAAAAAAATAAACCGGGTACAATCTGAGACAATTTATTTTTCCGGGACGGCCATAAACTGGTCCCGGTCAATCCGGTACGGTTGGTCACCTTGCATAATATGATTTGTACCGGGATGACGTTTTCCATAGTAATTCTTATACCATGGTATGCATACAGCCATTCCACTCGTAACGGATGGGACAGTTGCAAGTTTTTATTTACAAAATAATATTGTTCTATTATATTACTAATGTCAAATTTTTAAAAATAGTTCTAAACAATAGTTGTTTAAAAAGGTTTTTATTTGGCAAAATTAGGTATCGTGGTTGTCTGTTTAATTCCTTAAAAAATATTTTTTTTTATTCAAAAACAGTACTAGGAGTCTTACGCGTGGAATGGCCGCATACACAAAGTTAACAAAATAAAATACGATACAGAATCTATTCCATGGTACGCACTACAGTAACTGTTGTACATCAACTTTTTAAAAATATTTTAAATATGTCTCCTTGCAGTAATAATTATAATTGGCACTACCTATATAAAATTTACTTCAAAAATTTCGTATGGTTGCCATGAGGCATTTTGTACTGATCGAGAGTTTGACTCACTTTATTTAAAGAACGTTTTTTTTCTGAGAAACTAGACAATTCTTTTTCCTCTGTATAACTCGAACTCTTTTAATATGACTTCTGTCGACTTTAAATATATCATTATTTTTTTACTGAGTCTCGTGAGTGTCAGTGGTAAACAAGTGTAAAAAAAGTCCTCAGACCGACAAGTAATTAATGGTGGTGTTGTTAATGATAATTCTCGGAAGGTGATGTCGTTAACTTCACTGAAGTAATGAAATAAACGCTAATAAAGTGCCTAAAAGTAAGCGTATACACATAAGTATTTTAGGTGCAGCATCAATTTTATTATTATAGCCACTTCGTATTCGCACTTGCCCATCTCATCATCACTCGTGACATGTGTTTGCACACCGAAACACACGTGTTCCCTACTTTTTACTTCGCTACTCAGCACGCTGGAGATTATTAATTGCTTTTGATTTTGCATTTGGGAACTTCAAAGATGTTGACGCCGTATCATGCCGATTTTACAAAATTTTGGATTTAAGTCAAAAAATACAAAATTCCTAAGATATTTGAGGACATAAATTATATTGTATTTTTTTGCAATTCTCATAATGAAATATTTAGTCAATTTCTAATCTGACATTCTATATGTCTGTTTCTAATTATTATTGTTTTTTTTCTGTTCTGTAATTTTTTCAAATCGATTTGTTTCTTTATTTTTATCAAAAAATGTATTTGTGTTCATGATAAAACAAAAAAAATAATTAAAACAAATTTCTCCAGACCAATTAAATCTTAAAAGTACCATAATAAAAGAGTTAAATTAAAGAGCTCATTTAAGAGCCAAGTTATTTGACCTGTAAAAGTACTTTACTTGTATGTTATAATAACATTGTTATTACTAATAAATTATCATATTTTATCTTATCTTCATAGAAGCGCATTTGTCAAATTTTAACGAAAAAATTAATCACTCTTAAACTATTTACTTAGGACATGGTATAGTAATTTTAATCAGAATGTTATGTAGAATTTAAAAATGTAAAAATATATAGGCTGTTCTATTTAAAATAACAAGGTTGATGTCACTTCCGGATAAACCGGAAGTAGCATTTTGTTTCAAATATTAAAAAAAGACTTAAATGGATTATAAACGCTTTTAAAATTTCAAATAGATATCTATTTTCGTTCTCCAGAAACTTCTAATGGACCACGTAGGTATGTGAAACACCCTGTATATGAGCGAATATTCGTTAAATGTACATTTGCTGTCCCCAGCTAATTTTATTTTTATTTTTGACCTTTGTTGATAAGTTTTGTATTTATTATATTTAAATACCCCCTTCCTGTTAGGATCCATCGTATTTTTTTTGTAATTACTTTATGTTTCTATATATGGCAGAAAAACTAGGTGAAATGTCCTGTAACCTAACTGTCCCCAGAGGCGATTTTTTAATTTAAATTATTATATTCTTCTTCTTTGCAGGTTTCTTCTGAAAAAATAAATTATTTTTGAACAATGGAAAGTTCTTTTATTCGTATATAAAAATAAAATAGTTTTCTACAAAGTAGTTTAAACAGAAAAAAATATTAAAGTTGACATTCAAAAATAGAAATAGAAATAGAGACACGAAATAGAGACACGAGATAGAGATACTATCGTGTTATTTCTAGAGGGCATACATGTTTGATAGTTCGGCAACAAGTGAGCACGTGTAAAGTATGTGAATTTTTTTATAAATATTTTAAAGGTAAGATTTTTTTGCGTACACTTTTGGTGTCTTTTACATAACGCTACATAAAACTCTTGTTTTAGAAGTTAACTTTTTTATTTTCATTTTGTATTATAGCATAGTAGAAATTCCAAAGAAATGCCGAAAGATATTTACATTTAACAGTATTTCTGAAAAATAACGTTTGAAAAAGTCAAAAGCAATGTGTCATAAAACCTTCAGGAAGATTCGTTAGGAGGAGGACAATGTTTCATTTCTTCCTTGTGTTCCTTTCCCTATTTCAGATTAACCCTATAAGTTTTATTTCTTTAAAGTTTATTTTTGTTATTTATAAACTTCTAGAATTTTTTGCAGTCTATTACACTGTTCTATCACAAAGGAAAAAAAATCGATCAAATTTACCTACCTGGACAAAATATATACCCAAAATGTACATTTAACGAATATTCGCCCATATACATATATGTTTACCCAAATTATTACTTTATTTTAACAATAATCAGAAAGATTAGGGTAGTTATGCGATACTAATTCTTTATTCCAAATTAAATTGTCTTTAAATATGTGTGTTCCATTAAAAAAAAAATGTAATTTTTGTGAATATTTCGGAAAACCGACAATCAATTGTTTTTCTGTTTTTACCATTTTAATCAGGCAAAAAAATTCTTCAAATTTGCTAATTTAACCGACTTTGAAGCTCCAATAATAAGTTAGCAATGGTGAGCAGATAACTTTGGTCACCCTGTATAAATAGATATAGATAATATAGTTATAATATAGTTATATACTATATATTACTTTTAATGTTTAAAATAATACATATTAAGGTAAGTATTTTTACATACTTAGGTAGGTATTAGACTAATACCTACCTAAGTATCTAAAAATACTATTAGTATATCAGTAAACAATTACATAATTATCAAAGAAATTTTAATTTTTACAATTAAATTCCCAGCGTCCAGATGTTTAGGCGTAATTCTTATACAAACTATAAATTAAAACTTACAAAGAAGACAGTAGCGTTTACGAAATTTATAACTCGGCATGTGCGACAATCCAAATCTGTAATAATGTCATCATTGTGTTTAAGGTTTTTACGCTTTAATTTTTGCGGTAATTCTGTGAAAAACCCGAGAAAATCTTACTGGAGTGTGGCGAATTTTATTGCTTTAAATTATCGTTATTTTACCTTATAACAAAAGAAGGTACACCCACTTACTCTTACCTTACTAGATTATAAGAAAAGACAGATGCGTTGCTTATCTATTATTGGAAATAATCGAGAAAACTACACGCATTGCTTGAAATTAAATTATGGTTTTTAACTGTCAAATGTCATACCGTATGACTCATACGAGTTTTTAGAAACAAAATGGTCTAGATGGCGGCGAAGAATGCCATGGTGAAGCTTTTTAAAAAGCATTTGATTCAAATTAAGATTTGCACCCCGTTTTTAAATGTCATTTCGTACAATTATTCCTGTTCCGGTAAGCAACTTTGATTTACATTTACATGGCCAACTTGTTCGGTTTGCTAACGAGTATTTCTCATACCTGAGTTTGGGGTTGTGTGTAGTTTTTAATTGAATTTAAGATGCTGGCTTCGGTAGAGATTTTTTCTGACATCATTCGGACAATGCGTACGGTAC